ATCTACTTAGTACTTATACTATTACTAAACCTAATAGATATATAGTAGAGAATCTTATAAATAGCTAATAATTAGTAGAAGCTAATATTAGGAAGGACCTAGCTAAACTTTAGATATTAGCTATACTAATATAGAGATTATAAAAGATAGGATTATTAATCTACTCACCTATTAAAGTATATAAGGTACTTAAAGAGGCTAATAACCCCTTATTCTTATACCATAATCTTTTAAAAATAACTTAAAAGAATTAAGAATTTACTAAATATTTAGGAGTATATTTAAAGCAGGTAGGGGAGGGAGTCTTAATAAAATAATATAGTTAATAAATAAAGGTTTAAGAATATATTAGTGATATATTAATAGGGAATAGCTAACCTATATAATATTAAAAGGAGTTAACTCTAGAAGGGAGTAAAATTAACTTAACTTCTTTAGATAATAGGCTAAATAGGGGAATATTATATAATTTATTAAAGAATAATTAAACTTAATAGGATGCTAGTAAGGGAGATATTAACTTAAATAAGCTATTTATAGTAGTAATTCTAGCTTAGTAGGAGTAATTAGAGAAGGATAAGTTATCTAGTATTATAAGAATATTAAGATAAAAAGAGAATATACCTATGTTATTAATAACTAATTACTCTAGTATAAATTAATTAAAGAAGTAATAAAGGAAATAGTAAAAACTATCTAGTTATTAAAATTATATATAGGCTTCTTTAACTTTATTAGCTTCTTTAATAGAAGTAAAGCTTAACTATCTTAGCCTCTATCTTAGCTGTAGTGATTACTCTAGTCTAATAGAACCTAATTCTAATAGGCCTTCTCTTTTTTATTAACTTCTTTTACCTCTTTATCTTCTTTTACTATAATAGCTTTAAGAGTATTTACTTAATTATAAATAACCTTAATAAATCTCTCTAGATCCTACTAGATTAACTAAAGCTATTTAAGATTTTTAAAATTATTAGTAGTAATTAGCTAAGTAAGAACCTTACTATCTATTAGATAGCTATAGTAGTAGTATTTAGTAGGAGTTATATTAGTAGAAGGGGTAGACTATTTTTTCCCCTTTAATAAAAGTAAGAGGGGTTTAATAGGTATAAGAGAGTAACTAATAAAGGCTAAAACTTTCTAAACTTATTAGTTTAGAGTAAGATAGAGGAGTAGGGATTAATAGACTTATAAGTAGACTTTAAAGTATTTAAACCTAATATAAAGGAAGGAGGGTTAAAAAATAACTACTTCTTTTATAAATAAGTAAGATAGCCCTCTAAGGAAGATAAAATAAAAATATCTAGAGTTATTACCTTCTTAGTAATAATATTAGGCTTCTTTGATAGGGTAGGGGTAGTGGAGTAATTAATAGATTTAAGGGGCTAGTCTTAGATAGGATTACTATTTATAATAGCTAAAAGACTACCCTATTAGAGGAACATCCTATTTAAATACTACTATTAACTAACAAGAAACTAAATATAAATAGTTAGAGAAGAAATACTTATATATCATACTTTAAGTCCTAGCTATAGCCTTTACTAAGGTAGAATAAGTACTAGGAATCTTTAGAGTTCTATATACAATTAGTATAAGCCCCTATAAAAAGTAAGTAGCACTCTTTATATATAATAAAGTCTAGAGCTATAATATATTACTAAAATATTCTTATACTATTTATATAGGGCTTATAAGGTTCACTAGGCTCTAAACCCTAGGTATAGAGTAATATAGTATTTTAATAGTTTTTATTCTTTATATCCTTCTTCTAGTCTATATTATTATAGGATACCTACTTAAGAGAATATATAGGATCTAGAAGAATAATAAAGGACTCTTATAGTTTAGTTAATAGAAATAGGACTTTCTTATAGATAGTAGTAAGGGTGCCTTTATAGTTAGGATACTAAATAGGTATTATTTCTAATTTACTATTATAAATATAAAATAATACATAAAGAACACTAAAACAGTCTATATCTAAGAGGGATAAAAGAAGATTATTAATTTATACTAGAAGAAGCTTAGCTAAAAAATATATTATTAAGGCTTAAACTACAGAATCTTATATATAATAAGATATAAAAAGTTAGGAGTATTTATACTTCTACTATATATACTAGTAATAAATACTCACTTATCTACTAATAATTATTAGTTAATTTTATCTTTATTAATTTTATTAATTACTACTATATATAACTAGTAATATTTACTATAATTCTTTATCTCTTAATTAAGATTACTAATTACTTAGGTAACTTACTTATTACTATCTTTAAATAAGCTAATCTAATTATATCCCTTACTTATTATATAAAGAATATGCTCAGCCACTACTAAGATTATTTTAAAATAAGATTATAAAGAACTAACTAGTTAATTCTATAGATGTTTAATAAAGAAAGATAATATTTAAACACTAGATATAGTAATTAATATCTCTTAGTAATAATTAGATATAGATTATTATAATAGTAGGTGCTAACTTAGCTTCCCTACTCTAGTACTAACTAAGAACTCTATAAACTAAGTTCAGTCCAGGCAGGGGAGGATATAATATTAATAGCTATGTTAGTAGGTTAACATAATCTATAAGCATACATAGTAATATCTAGTGATCATTACTATGTATATAATTATTTAGATCACCACATTCTTTGCTAGCTTAGGTAGAACCATAAAAGGGGAGGTAGAATCTCTTCATTACAGACAGGATACATACAGGGCAGCCATAGGCCTACCCCCTACCCTCACACATCTCAAAGGATCCCCTCCCATTGCGATGGACGATATTCCACCATCTAGTATCAATATTAAATTCTTATCTAGTAAGGATATCGAATGCCATCTAGTATGGATGTCGAATTCCCATCTAGTAGGGATATCAAATGCCACCTAGTATCAATATCGAATTCTCATTTAGTATTGATATCAAATATCACCTAGTATTGATATCGAATTCTGACCTAGTATTGATATCGAATTCTCATCTAGTATTGATATTGAATTCTCATCTAGTATTGATATTGAATTCTCATCTAGTAAGGATACCAAATATCACCTAGTATCAATATTGATATCGATACTAGGTGGCATTCGATATCAATACTAGGTGGCATTCGATATCCCTACTAGGTGATGTTCGATATCCCTACTAGATGAGAATTCAATATTGATACTACGTGGCATTTGATATCCCTACTAGATGGGAATTTGATATCGATACTAGGTGATATTTAATATCCCTACTAGATGGCATTCCATATTATTACTATAGTAATTTAATATCTTATGGTTGTAGAGGTTATAAGGGAAGAATTATCTCTATTAGTAGTTAGTATAAAAGAGTAGTGCTATATATATTTGCATATTAACCTTTAATAACTACTATAATTTAGGAATAATTCTTAACTATTACCTATTCAACCCTCTCTATATTAAATTAATACTTTAGATATAGATTAAAATAACTATAATTACTATATATTTTATATAAAAGTATTATTTTTCTATATGCATGCTGGATAGGCCCTAGGCAGGTAGTGTGTGTGGTAGCAGCAGCATCAGTGTGGTAGGAGGTAATCATGGTAAAAAAACATTTTGGCTGGTTTTGTACATTCAGTCCGCCGTACTTTGTGGAGATAGTCATGATCTTTGGATCCCAGGAAATGAGGTTTGAACAGGCAGATGACTAACTACATAAGGCTGGCAGTCATTCAAGACACAGTGCAATGCTAGGGCTCTTACAAAAACAATAGAAGCCGGTCCTCTCGATTACTGCCGCTTAAAAGTTTCCCTCCACTTTGAAAAATAATCGCACTGAATCAACTCTTTGTAGATGACGCAATTGGCCCTGAGACAGGCATATCCGATGAGAGTCCATTCGGTCCACGGTTGCTGAGCTTGGAAGATACCGAAAATGTGCCGGCCGATGAGTGTTGTGGGGAAGAAGAACCATCATACATCTGACGACTTGCCTAAATTTTCAAGAGAAGTTCAGGAGGCCAGAGCAATTACTGGAGGTATAGGAGTCTCTGGCTCAGCAAAAACAATGTAGTTCTCTTATATGGGTGGTTTGTGAGGCGTGAAATCATTCGTTACCAGTATCCTTTTGAAGATGAGCTCGTTCATGTAGCGCCTCCTGTCTGGCTTTTCGTTTCATGAAGACCCTCATGCGGCGAATCTAACGCCGAAGTTACCTGTCATGAATTCCATGTCAGGTAACTGTCCTACTGTCCATTTCGGATGCTCCTCCTAAGATGATGGTTTCAAGTGCTACCAGTCCAGGCTATCATACTATGCTTGGACATCTTCTCGTCCCTATTATTGGCTGCCGCGGGCTAGTGCTGAGGTGTGGAGTTGGGCGTATGTAGATCCCTTTTTTGGAAACTAAATACGATAACGAAAGCGAGGATGGGACACAGGTGAGGTCTGCCTATTGATACCTATCAACACAGGCTCATGTCCAGTGCCATCCTATATAAGATCCCTGTGAACCTCCAAACAGTAAATGCCTACTTATTTCAAGACGGCTCATCTGCTTTTATCTCTGTTATCTCTGCTTGTCCCCCACCAACAGCATGTCGGACTTTGAATACTATCGATACTATCCCTCTTCTGCAGCGGCGGCAATTTTCTTTGTCGTGTTTGGTGCCGCTTCCATTATACATTCCTATCAACTCTGCAGGAGCCGTACCTGGTATTTCATACCTTTCATGTTTGGCGGATATTGTAAGGGTCCCTATCAACCTTATGTGAGATAATGCCGCAGGTTTGATTCAGAAGGTTAACAGTCTGTAGTCGAGCTCATCAGCTATATAGGGGTACGTTTTCCTATCACAGGACCACCGTCAACATCACAGCAACAATGACTCACACGATATCTACAGAGGTACATTTCATCAACAGAATCGCCAGACTGGTCACTTGGCCCATACCTCATCCATACTCTCCTGGCGCTCGTCGCGCCAGCTCTATTCGCTGCAAGCATTTACATGGAGCTCGGTCGAATCATTAAACTCACAAAAGGCGAAGATAAAGCTATTATCCCTACACGATGGCTGACCAAGATCTTTGTCTTTGGGGATGTTGTTTCTTTCCTCGTGCAAGGCGGTGGTGAGTTCAAATCAATATAGCATTTGTATGTTGCCTTTCTGACTCGTTGTCTTCTCTTGACAGGAGGAGGAGTCATGGCAGGAAACAGTCTCGACTCCATGAAAACTGGAGAGAAGCTCGTCCAACTCGGTCTTGCTATCCAAATAGTCTTCTTCGCCCTCTTTATTGCTACCGCCATTGTCTTCCATATCCGTATGCGACGAGATCCATATCAGCAATTGTCCTCTAAGTGTCATACTTGTTGGCAAAAGCACCTCTCGCTGCTCTATGCTACATCCATCGTAATCCTCATACGGTGTTTGTTCCGATTGATCGAGTATGTGCAAGGGAACTCCGGGTACTTGATCAGTCATGAAGCCTATTTGTACGTTTTCGATGCTACCTTGATGTTTCTTACAATGGTGTTGTTTGCAGTCGTTCATCCTAGTGAGCTTAACGCTCTGCTGAAAGGAGGAAAGGCAAAAGCTATTCAGAAGATTGTGTTCTTGCGCAGTGTTGACTGTGGCAATAGTGAAGAACTGAATGAATTACAGCGCTTCTAGGGGTACTTGATGCTCCGTAATAGATATTGGGCTTTGCAGTTCAAAAGCTGTTGGCTGCTGGAAAAGCGAATCAGCATGACCCCATCTCAATAAAATAGACGCATTTCATGGTATATGGACTAATCTGGGTTATATGTAAAATAAGAAAATAATAGGCAATTTTAGAGGGTATGAACAATTATGAATATGGCTCATCTCCGGACTATGAATTGACTAATATGCTGTGTCTGCAGTGGCGTTTGTTCCTCGTCTAATCCAGGGTAGAAATAGTTCCACATTCTATAATCCTCGCATCGCGGCTGTAGCCATCTTTGTTTCGCCAATCAAAACAACCCTTAGTATGCTTTTGGATAAAGTGTTGAAGCGCGAGGGCTGTTCAAGACAGATCGAGAAACGCAGGCGACCATCTTGCAGCTTATTTTACGACCGGTCCAAGTGAAATAATTTGGCCCTGCTACGAGTATTTCGCCTTCTTCCAGTGGGATGCAAAAAGTATTAGAACACCCGAAAATGGGTAGCGTGCTCGTGTTCGATTGATGGCCACTCGGATCGCATTGCGTCAATTTCTTGGCATTTAGTCCTTTGCGCCTCGTGCAGAGTCCATCTGTGAGCCAGATTACCTCTGCCTAATTCTTGGGGAGGCGCAGCCAGAACCCTGTTTTTTATACTCTGTCCAACCCACTGCGTTGATGCGCAGTTCAACGATTAACTATTAACTATTCTCTATCTCAAAGTTCTCCGCTGAGCCGCTCGCTCTCGGTTAGCAAACTTCCCAAGAGGTTGGAGTGAACAAGATGCCCGTTAGAAGGTCTCACACCAAGTCCCGCTCGGGGTGCGTCAATTGCAAGCGAAGAAGAGTCAAGGTGAGCAGCAAAACTCTGCGCAGTGATGCCCGAGGATTTGGACCTATCTTGTATTAGAGCTCATTTTTCAAGTGCGATGAAAAAGGCCCTCCATGCGGAAACTGCATCAGAAGACAGATTGATTGTATCTACCCTGCTAAGCAAATCCGATTCAATGAGCCAGTTGGGCTTACAAGGGGATCGCTACAATCTAACGTGTCACAAATTCACGAGAACAATTCAGCCGAAAACAGAACCGGTTTTGGCAGAAGGTGTGGTCGGTCCTGCCTGGAGAGGCGGTCGGTCGAGCTCTTATTGATGCATCAGTATTCTTCTAAAACTTACCTGACATTTTGCCGAACTTCGCAAGATGTATACCTCTGGCAAACCGTTGTTGTCGAGGAGGCCTGGAAGCATCCATTTCTCTTATACGGTATACTTGCTGTGTCAGCCCGGCAATTAGCTTGTGTAACACCAAAGTCGGCAAAAGAGTATAGCGGCTACTCTCTCGAGTATCAGAGCGCAGCTAGTCCCGAATTTCGACGGTCGCTAGAACAAATTACCGAAGACAACTGCGGCGCAGTATTTGCATTTTCCGTGATCACACTTGTCTTGATGCTCACCGCTACAGCCTTCGACGAAGATGGCCCGGGGAGTGCCTTGGAGACTGTCTTTTCCCTGTCTGAATTCCTCAAAGGCGTCAGATCAATATGTCTAGCCGGTGGGCAATGGCTTTCAAAATCGTCTCTGGGTGACTACATACAGACAAAACCAATGTTAGTCAGTGACTACGAAGATATTCGGGCTGCCCTGGATCGTTTGCGGGTCCTATATGAAGCCGTGGTACAGCAAATGGATGAAACGAAGTCCACAACCTACGGAAGGGCAATTGACCTCCTCGGAGAGTGCCTCCTTCTCTCTCGCGGTATGTCTCTCAGGTGGCTGATACTGGTGGGCGAGGAATTTTTCTGCGAGCTGGAAAAGTCTGATCCGATGGGTCTCGTGATATTTTTGCATTGGGCCGCCATCTTGGATGCGCTGAAAGACGAGTGGTGGGCGTTGGATATAGGAAAGCGGCTTGTTGAGGAAGTGTCGGCTCAAGCGGATCAACTAGCGGGACCATGGGCGGAGACAGTACTCTGGGCCAAAATCCAAGTCGGGCTTGAGATGCCAACTCGCAAGGGAGCAAGCTGGGGCTCATCAGCGGAGGGAGCTGAGAACGGCAGACGTCCCCTCCGGCGACAGCTTGGTCACACAGACTAAACGCTCCCTAGCGCATCAGTCAAGTCGCCGGGTAAGCGACGGATCTTGGCTGGATGAAATTAAATATATTATTAGAAATCGGCCTGTGAACTTAGTAAAATACCATAGCATTGATCAGGGTAAGACTACCTCCCTTGGTATAAATGTAGCTTGCAAGACTAAAGCCTTTAGAAGCAGTGAGAGTAGTTAGATTGGTGGCATATTTGGTCAAAATTACCAACTATTCCCCAGACCATATGATCAGTATGAGCTCTCATCGTCATCTACATCTACCCGTGTCCTAAGAAAAAGAGTGGCGAAGTGAAATCGCTGGTGATATCCTATACAGCGCAGCGCCTAATGTGTATAGCATACTCTATATTGGAGCTGAGGCTGCTCACCAGCTGGGAGGTATCTAATATCTCTGCTAATGGGTCTCAGTATCAGATTCCTTGAACTTCTTAATCCCCCCTGTAACTCCATCCTCACCCATATCCTAATCTCTCTGTTCTACCCTTTCCGCCTAGCTCTGCAGCATCTTCCAGAGCTGTATATTGTGAAGGTCTGTGAAATCTGTGAACCCAGACTGATAGAGCCCGAAGGACTGATTAGTAGGTAGAGGGTGCTTACTCTTAGGATTGATGCCCATCTGCTTGCTATCTGATTTGTGGGCCCACCTGTGTGCCCTAAGCCCATATAGGAGCATAAGGACACACCTGTCACTGAAAGCTATGTTGGTTCTGGGCATGACCTCACTGAGGTAGAGCCCCGCGGGGACCGTGGAACTTTTATTTAGTGGTGTCCACGAAGGATACTAGCTGCCAAGCCCATTGATATGGAATATGTGGAAGGGCATGTCTTCTGGCTTGGACTATGAGGACTGGTAGGGTTGCTGGTCAAGCTTGCTTGGGAGGTAAATACCAGGGGCAATATACTTGATGGGAATTGACTAAGCCGCAGTTATAGTTAAGATTGATATGCAAAGCTGGACGTAGGTAGGAAGTCCTGATCCAAGGGATCAAACCACTGGAGTCTTTCTTCTTCTTTTGGTGGTTTCTACGCTGGTAGTTGAGTCTTAATCGCATCAAGAAGTTGCCTCATGGAGATGACGGATTTCTCTAGATTAGTGTTGGAAAATGCGCAGATCCTCCATGGGGAGAATGACTTGAGGATTTCGTATTCTTTAATTGCAAAGATCTCTCCTTCATTAATCATTTTGAGATACGCATCCAGAATAACTTCAAGGGGTTTCCATCCCCAACCCCATTCACACATCACTGTTATATCTGTGAGATTGCCCACAAATGTAGCTGTTGATGTTGCTTAGTTAAAGCTCAAGAAGTATGAGCAGAATGCAAGTCTATATATTTGTATATATGGATATCTCACAAGATGCCCTGCTGATCCCCTGCTTTATATGTGGTAGTGTAGTAAAGAAATATAAAGCACTCATTATCTAGGTATATTCCTTGCTCTGACACTAATAGAAGACCTTCACTGCTCACCAGACCAGCCATGAAATAGAAGAAAGAATAATCAGGATTTTCTTTATATGGTAAGAAGCGTGCTTGCTTAAGGAAGGCTACTAAGGATGGTGATAGTCAGTTTTAAGTGGCCTCGGGAGGTGCATTGTAATCCCACCATATCTAGGAAGGGAGCTCATCAGCTTGTCTGCCACTGCCCACCTATCCTTTATATAGAATCTTATTGCATAGAGCAGAACATCATTCATGGTCCATACTGTCCAGGTTGTGAACTGGATTTGCTGCAGAGATCTGGTGACTGGATCTTGTCTGGAACATAAAGAGATTATAAAAACTGATCGGGAGCCCTGCTAGAATATTGCGTATATCAAAAGTTTGTCTCTTATGTATGCCATGGCTGGAGATCTCTGGCACTGAATTGGATGATGGTAGGAATTAGCCAACCATTGATGCTGCAGGGAGAATTTCAGTTTCAAACTCCTCCACTGTCTGACTGCAGCATGTCCCTAATGATACTAAGCTGTGATACATGTAGCAGGCACTGTTTAAGTTATTTAATTCTTTTTATAAGCCAGAAAACCATAATGTTTCTACTGCTTAATTTCCAACCAGCTTCAGCCTAATTACCTAGTCCTCCTTGCTAAATATTCTACAAATGGTCAATTCTTCTATCAACCTCCCAATCTGCCTTATAATAGACTTAAGCAGCCCTGCTCCATCTATCTTAAATAGCTGTACTACTGTAGAAGTCTACCACTAGATTGATTTAATAGCTCAGCAGTTGGTAAATCATTGTTAGACTGAGATCTAATTAATGTTGCTATTTATACTCGGACACAGTATAAGTAAGGTCTAAGTTATAATTTAGGCCCATAAGTTTCACACCTACGCGTCTCATTCATGTAGTGGTGAGGGAGGTTAACCTTTATTTTCTCTCTAAGTTTCCTGTATAGTACTATATAAATAATTTTTAAGGTCTATAGGTTCTAAGAGATTGCAAATGCTCTGTCCACTGTTATATAGTGTTTAGGATGACCATCACCCTGTATAGTTTAGGCATAAGGTTAAGATGTGCAAGCACTAGAATAGCATTTTCCTTGGCCATAATACTCTTTGGTGCTCCTATAGTACCCTAACATAGAGCAGCAGTTGCTAAATTGCGTCTTAGTGTAGGTCTTATTATTAGTAAAACTCAGTCTACACTCACTGTTGATGCTGGGTCCACTATTATCATCCTCATAACTTCCTAAGTAACACTTCCTGGGCCCACAGAAGTCTAATCCTTTCCCACAGTATCCATATACAGAGCAGCACCTGGAGTATCAGTTATCATCTGGCATGATCAAGGATGGAGCCTGAAGAAAGCGCAGAGTACATAGAGGCTAAAGCTTGGGTTTGTGTACATTAAATAGCCCCAGTCAGGACCACAGGTGCTATTTGTTATTATGCTGGTCTTAAGCTTATAAGCACCAGACGCGCAGTTGCCTGTATCATAGTAATCACTAGAACTACTATAGTAGCCACTGGTTGAGTAGCACCTAGAGATTGCCAGTCAAACCCTTTGCTGGATATATGTCTTGATAGCTCAGGACTAACTTACTTCCTAAATGGTGAGCCTTTACATACTGTATATCCATTAGCAGCTCTGCAAGTGCCATCTTTTGAAACTAGAGCTTCAGAAACAGGGCAACGCAAACGTCATAATTAAGCCAGAGGTTAGTGCAGTTGTTCTACAGCTAAATATGCCAAAAAAAAATTGAAAAAAAAAAAAAAAAAAAAAAAAAAAAATTGCAGTTAGTGAGAGCTGTGGTAGGAGGGCAGAGCCAGGAATGGAACCCATATAGGTGTTTAGAGACTGCAGGTCTGCAAAAGTGATTCTAAAGCAGAGAGCCACTGTATTATACTGACACAACATATTAGTATTGATTAATATAGCGCGATGCTATCAATTACCGTGTCACCCGAGACAACTTTATAGTATCAACCATGATTTATAGTGGTTCCTATCTATGTGGATTCTGATGCCACAGCTGCATATGTCTGTTAGCTACGCTGGACCAGAAGGATATGAAGGCATGCAACCTGTTGTATAGTAGGAACCTGCTGTAGTGGGGGCTGATATCACCCCAGAGGGCTTGAAATGGCCACTGGGGGGACTTTAAATGGAGTTAGGTAATTAGTGTATATTTCTGAGAGCCATGCTGTGCTGGAGGTCACCTACCCTTTGTAATATCTCTGCACATGGTTCACATGACCACAGGAGCTAAGAATGTCTGGGTTCCATGTAAGGAACTGTGTCAGCATCACTAGTGAGTTCTCTGTTAAATATTAAGCTGCTAACTCTTTGCTATTGTGATATTAGTATAAGTTAGAAAAGCTCTTAAAGCAAACATACCAAGAAGGATTGCCTATTATAATATCAATCTTGCATGGGGGTGGAAGACAGATGGGACTGTCAAACTTACAGAAGTCATCCTGGGTAGCATGAATAGTGGCGCTAGTACTGATATTATCTGCATCTGATAATCCTAAGCAAGTGACTGTATCTTTAGGTTTAATAAACTGTCCCAGACAGGATGCTGCTGTTGTTGGAGTGGGTATGCTGGACTGTGTTTGGGTCATAGTGCTTGGGCTGACCTTGAGTGTTGATGTATACATGGAAACTGGTAGGGAAACTGAGCAATTTTTTTGCATTAACTTGTACTGTGTGAGAAGATAGTTAGTATGCTTGCTCATTGCAAGCATTAATGATTATAATCTCTGTCTCCATATTTTAATGAAGCACTCGCTGCAGAGCTAAAGAGAATATGACCCATGGATTAGTCTGTGAGCCAATAGAGAACGGCTTTAATGCTTACTAAGTCCTGATCATAGAGCTGAGTTACGTCCATCATCTCTGGTGTAATTTGTGCTGTTAAAAAATCCGGATCAAGGCACTCTGGTGGATTGTCAGCCAGATCTTTATTATGACATGAATTGGGGGACCACCTAATATAACACTCAGTATCATTCATGCCCAGTGATAGTTAAATATACTAAATGTAATCACTTCCCTGCCATTCCTGTGACTTGAGAAAGCACTAATTGGATGCATTGTAGACCTAGGCAGCCACTAATACACTGCTAGTTATCATTGTATGCTCATGTGAAATAAATGCACCTATCCTGCAGATAAACTAACCCATAGCCTTCCAGCCATAGGGTTGGTATTACCTTTACCAGCATTAGAATATTCATAGAGAATATAGTCTCTTCTTAATAGTTTTGTTCCACAGCTGCGAGACAGGATGAAAGTGAGTCTGCACTTCCTAAGTATATAGAGTTATAACATTCTATGCGGCTCAGACTTATCTAATTATTAGTGGCGGCTCTCTGTACTAAGGTTGCAGTATCTACTTACAATAGTTATCCAGACCTGATGCTGCTTGGGTGGCGATTAATTTATTACATAAAATTATATTATTCCTAATTGTCTATCTGTAAGCTTCTTCATCTATGTTATACAGGCTTGTAGTGTAAATAGCAGTCTCTTAGAAAGCCCAAGGCATTGGTCTGAGAGACCATAACCTTATAATTAAAAGACTACTAGAGAAGATAATATCACTGGAGTACTGATTAGGGCATACCTGCGTAATGGCCTTAATATCTTTGTAGCAAACCATAATGTAAGTTCCATGGGCATAGTTCTTCTTATCTCCGGCTAGATGCGTATTCTGAGTGAGAAAGATGGTACCTTCTGGGCAGCGCCAATCGTAAATCTTGCTCTAAACACCGATATTAGTCATGTACATATGATGCACTTAGAACTGTACAGGATATACACACTTCTTTTATTCATATGTATACAGCAATCGAGAAGACATTATTCAGTTCCTGTCTAATTGAACAAAAGCCATAGAAGTAAATACCACAAACCCAATCCTTTACCATCTCAAGTCTATTTCTTGCTCCCTTCACTTGTCTGCTACCCTCCGCGAGCGCAGCGCAAAACACAGCACAACATAGTTCAGCACATAAACTATAATGAAAATACCACCCAGGACAATAGTGGCATCGCTACACCGACGGCGTGATGTCGCTTTGTCAAGTCCTTGGTAGTAGTAGCAGAAGAGATAGTATGTTAATGGGCCAAACGCGGGGCAGATTCCGGATCTGCTCTCGTGTTATTTCCATTTCTTTTTCTGCGGTAATTATAAATGAAGAACTCACATGAATATGAGTTGGCGGACAAGGTCATGGAAGCGCCAAAGAAGGGTCGTTGACTGGGCATTTTGTGGGGCTCTTGCTGGATATGTGGGACCCTTTTCTGGTCTGGCTGTACTCATTTTGTAGCCTAGAGAGTAGAGACAAATATTGCTGAATGAGGGCGTGGGAACGTTCGTGGTCACGGGTAGTAGAATGTATTTAAGCAGTCCTCCAGCGGTTTGGCCTCCACTTGGGCTGCCAAGATCATAATCGACGGGTATGCCCTGCCGGCTGTTTGCCGACAATAGGTATATCAAAAATATTAGATAATGTGATTGTACGTCACCTAATTAAATAAATCCACTTTGTTTCTCTTATGCAATCAAATTGGACCTCTTGTCAAGCGGATTGATGAGAGCCTCAAATGTGATCAATTGCCTTGGCGTAAGCCGTAGTGGCGTCTCTATTTATTACCCCAACGACGTAGAAGGGGTGCTATCTGGGCTGCAAGGCCTTGAGAGCAGGGGTTAGTCTATAAGAGGAAAGGGGAGCAAGTCGCATACTGAGGTCACAAATAATCATGACCATTCAATGCATACTAAAACGCCTGCCACTATAGTACTCGCCATCATTGCTCCTAAAAGGCCCTGAGCTGAACACTGGGATAAGACTTTCGGTTATTCATTGCGTTGATTAGAACCATGGCCTGCCTCTATCTTAGTAGGGTTACATTTACTAAGAGTGGAACTGATGGTAAGACATATAGGGATTTCAACCCCATAATTTGCTTGGCGTCTGCCCATGGACTCTTAATCCAGTTCTAATCAGGCCACAGATATTCCATCTATCTCCCAACTTTGTGTTTGCATACCAGGTGAAATGATGATAACAGATTGCCCTTGACATACGTGCTCTAATAAAGTTATACAGTAGGTGATCACCTGACGCCCGGTCCCACCTGCCGCCCGAAATCACCACCAAGTACGATATCAAACATGAAGCAATTCAACCACATCCAATTGATATTATCTCTCGATTTCTTGGTGGCTTAAAGTCGTCATTAGATACAGTCTATACATGATTTTTAATCGCTCCAGAAGCGGTGGGGTAGCCGTATCTGCCGGCCTCGACGATTTACTGTTGGAGGGGCCTCTGCAACAACTTCAGCACTTATTAGCTTATTTCTATGGAGATTTTGCTGGCGTGAAGCTTTAGAGGGCTTCTTTAGAGCCTTCTTGGCCTGCTGGAAGTTATCTTGAAGCTGTTGATTTGCCTCCTTTCCAGGTGCTCCTCCTCCTTTTGTTGTTTCTTCTGCTCTGCCTCCAAGCGGCGCAATTCTTGTTGAGATGCTCGAATTCTCTTGCGCTCTTCAAGCAAGCATTATTTCTCTTCCTTTACTTGCTGCCGGCGGACCTTTTCTTCCTCTTTTGAAGCTTTAGCGAGCTGTATAGCCTCATCCTTCTGCTTTTGAAGATCACAAGCTTATTAGACCTTCCGCAGAGAATAAAATACTACACCACCATTCTCAGGAGGTGGAATATCAAACTGCAAGGCTTTACCTCACTAGCGCTTCTTCTTCTCATTCTGGAGGGCTGATTCGAGGCCTTGGCAACATAGTTTTAGAAGAATATTCTCCGTAGAGAGGTGGTCCATCGTTGAACTCAACTTCTTGGTGTTTTTATCATATATATCAGCCACCACGCGGTTCAGAAGCCTTTCAATCTTCCTCCAATCTTCTACTTGTAGTATCAAGCAAGAAGACTCACTGGTAGAGGGCCTTAAGTCCTTCTTCTTAGTGAATCACTGCGGAATAATCTCAGGATCCAGAGGCGATATACCGACAGTTTTCCATGAAGAAAGGATATTTCTCGATGACAAGGCTTGCTGCCAGGCTGGCCAAAAGAGGCGGAAGAAGTCTTATTTAGTAATATAACTTAGGCCCATTAATTTGTGCAAAAATTCCTCCAGTTGCTTGCTATAAGCAGTGGTAAGAGGACTAAAGATCCCAACATCAAGCAGCTGCAGCGAATGAGTTGAATGAGGCAGATATATCATTAAGAGGATCTTATTATCGTCACAGTAATTGATGAACTCCATAGTAAGGTGAGATCCATGGCCATCAAGGATCAAAAGCCTCCAGCGCCTCCGCGCTTTCTCCTTAGTATACCAGTCAAAAATGTCCTTCAACCAGGCCAATCCTAGCTTATCATTTGTCCAACCGCTTGGTGAGGAGGCAAAGAAGCAACCGTGTAGCTCAGGATCAAAATCTTGAAGCCAGGAATCCTGTATATCACCGCTAATGGCCTGGTAAATAAGACCTAGAGGAAGAGAGGTTCCATCAGCGCAAATACAAGCAGTTAAGGTTATCCACTCACAATTCCCGTCCTGCAGGCGCTGCTTGAGGCCACTATTCTGATATTTCTGCTTGGAAAAGATTCTGAGGCCTTTAACCAGCATTCCAATCATAAAGCCTTTCTCATCCATATTGTAGATATCCTCTGGCCGTAGCTCATATTCCTGCAGTTTCCGGCTCAGCAACTTAAAATATAAAGTGTATTTATATGCAGAATCAGCTCATTTTCTTGCGGCATCAATAGCAGTTGTATAAGTTGAAATAAGGTCATCTTAGTGGCACTTTAAAAAGCACCCAGGCCAGTGCTTTCTGGGCTTCTTTCCAGTAAGCTCTTTAGCAAAATTCCGCAGCATTTTATGCAAGGCAAAGAGGCCTCTCTCAGTAAGCTTGTTAATATACTTTATGAGTTCCTTATCTTATTGGTTGGTGAGAATTCGCTGCTCCTCATACTGATGGTCCCTCAAGCATTAAACCCCGCGGTGGCGCCTCAAGAGCGTTGACCAGCTAACGCCATACTTGTTTGCAAAGAAAGTATAATTAATCAATTCGCCTGGTTCCAACAATTCAATTACTTCTAAAGCCACTTCAATTAGAGTCATATTAGTGGAGTTATGAGCAGTTGAAGTTTGGTCATTTTGAAAGTCAGTGAGGGGAATCGGGCGGCAGGTAGGACCGGGCGTCAGGTGATCACCCACTGTAGTATATGAAGTCGCTGGCTATAGAGTAGGACCAGAGCTAACACAAGCCCGCGGCTCCCGACAGTTAGGCCAAAGGAGTTCTATTACTGTCATAGCATGGAAAAGTGGTCGATACAAGTCTAGCTGGAGATCATCATATTATCTGATATTCACGCTCAAATAGCAGCGCTAAAGTGGAATAGCGTCGCCAGTGGTGCAGAGAAAGTCTACTTTGACCGAGGCAGGCCACAGGGTGTCCAGTCGGATCTCATTATGCTTGATCAATGTCTCTTGGTCGATTCATCCTCATCCCCTCGTCCAGCTTATGCTCCACCAACTATGCCTAAATAGGCCACCCTGTTATGCATATGATTGATAGTCTGTGTGGCCAACGGGGCCGGAGAAGGCTGAGATAGTACTGTTGACGGAAAAGCTCCGAGCTATGTTCTGTATGGTTAAGTGTACCTCAATACCACCAATATCTCTAAGTATACTAGGTAATCTTGGAATATATGGTCTTTGGAGTGGTTATTTTACTAGCACAAGTTATCAGAAAACCTGCTGGTTTTCCGAAATCTGCGACAACTATGGCTAAAGGGAGTATACCAAGGACCTTGTTATTCCATTAGGTAGTTCGCTACCAGACTGGACAATATGAGGCCCTGGTTAGCGTGGGGTCGCAGGGTAGTATCATTATGGGACGATGTATAGTCTTGTTGAGCTGATATAAAACATATAAATCTGTCTTCTCAGGGAAACTACCCAATAAATCCTTACGTTTGCTCCATTTATCTCTTAATTCAAAGAAGTCCCTTTTCAACATGAAGGACCAGTTGATTCTCGTTTCCCTGCTTTCTATGAGCCACTGCGGTCTAGCTGCCCCTGTCATGAGTGAGGATGTCTCTCTAGCCACTCTATCTCAGGATGTGAGTGACGATGAGCTTCATTCCATAGCCATCCGGACCCCGAATGAAGCCCATACTGTGAAAACCCACCTGGAAAATCGGGCTTTTAGTTGCAGCCCACTGAATGACCAGTTGATTAGAGTTATCAAAGACACAACTGCACAGTGCGTATCAGTTAGCTCCATTTACTGCTAGATTTCTCACTAATACTGCAACTCCAGGTTAGCATTCTTGAACATGGGCGCTCACTTTGCAGCCGAGGTATGCGAGCATTATCACTTCGACAACTGCGCATGGTGGATCAGTCACATCCAATGGGCTATAAACTCGATCTTTGCCATTGCAGCGGCGCGTGGAAGAGTCAACGGCGCCGACGGCGTCTCCATGGACCAAGAACTACAGTCCATTGATGTACGTAGTTTGTCCGACGCAAGCTACGCAGACACCATCAAAGAATGGTTGCATGATGAGAGATTCAACTTTGAGACCGTGGAGGATGTCGATGTCCTCACATTAACCCATCAAAAGCGGAGCAATGATGAACCTGGCCTCGTGCACCGCGCAATTGTCCGGGGTATCAAACAAGAAGGATATACTCATGAAGTTGCTTTCAACTTTTATAGCAACGGAGGGACAGTCCTCCATCTGGGAGCCGCTAATCAAACGCTCGCCGCTGACCCTTCGAATCTCAGAAAGCGAGCTGGGTTAGGGCATGAGGGGTTCAAGATCTCGTTTACTACGCGGCAAGGCGCGGCTCTCACAGTCGCTGAGCAGAATGAAATGGCTCGTTCTATTGCCTCCGACTGGGCACAGCGTGTGTTTGCCACAGAAGATTATATTGGGCTTGTCAAGGATGGTCACAAGGCGGACTTCTACTACCGGATTATCCCCGAGGTGCTGGGGTTTGGTCTGAACTATGAGAGTGTGGATGTTTGCGGTGGTATGGCAAGCCTCCTGTAGGGAGCTATCCATCCACTAGATATTTTTTGCGAATTTTCCAAGGCCATCGAACCTGTCGGACAGGGAGGAGTTAGAACCAAAGACCCATTGATCCTGTGATCAAAGGAGGGCCTTTGAAGCCGGTATATATATTGGAGAATAGCCGTAGACATGTTGAAGATCACATATGCTCTGTATAAACCAGTGCATTGATTCTTATTATGCATAGAATAAAGACCTGTTACTTGTGCATGGCAATGTGGAGTCTTATATCATCTACAGGAAATCCGACTACTCTTCCTGGCACAGAATCATCCTTCTATCAAACATCTCCACTTACATTCCCCTTCAGAACTTATATTTTCAATGCAGACCCAACTAGACCTAAATATGAGTCCGTACCCAGTCTATTATGATACAACTTCTGCGACGGTTAGAGTAAATAAAATCATCCATTCATCTGTCCTGTAATCACAGGCAATATTCTACTTAACCAACATGACCAGTCCAATAGCAATGCACGACGTCTGCTATCCTCTGAATAGTGGATGATCTCAGTAATAGCCTTGTCATATCTGCTAACCAAGCTACATGAGTTCTTATCGACTAACGGTTGACGCTGTCTAGTTGATCCAGCTCCATGTGTTTTCTTTCCTAGTGCAGACCATCCCGCCCTAGCGATCCATATGGTTGCAACGCCTTGACCAATCTATCACACTGCTCTTCAAGTCCATCGTAGCTGCATTTCTGAACTTCTGGGTTTTCACGAGTCTCGTGGATTAACTCATATAGATTTTGGTGAGAAGCCATGACAGTCCAGTTGCAAAAAGCCATCATCACCAAGGCCAGTAATTGCTCGGACTCAACGAGCTCTGTCGTGACAGATAAGCAACTGAGAATCTGTTTGTTGAGATATTTATACACCGACCCTCGTACCCCTCTCAGAACGGGGTTCTCCCTCTGTCTGCGCATCGTATCGCTTCGGAGATCGACGAGATCATTGATCAGAGTGGTCCCATAGGACAGCTCCATATATTCAAACTCGTCGAGCTGCTGCCCCGTTGCCAGAGATGCCGCAACCACTCCAACAGTATTGGCAATATCAATATGTCGATCAGTAGTCAGCTCCGTCATCCGACTATCGTATAGTCCTCCGGGGAGAACGGGGACGCCAATCAGACTGTCATTCCCGGAATCAGCAATTGCGCGCAAAATGCCCTCGTCCACAACACTACTGCCGCAGGCTACAGAATATACGTATTTTGCATCGGCGCAGAGTTTGGTTTTCTCAAATGTTGGAAATAGAGCGTCTTGTATCTCCAAGGTATTGTCGCAATCTTGGTTCGGTCGATGATCCGGTGCTCTGATTGGGATAATAGATGCAATATCGGCCCCGGCTCAGATGGTCGGGCTTTCTTGGATGTTGTTCAGTAATGCGGGGAGAGACAGGATGGCCGGGATGGCATACGCCGTAATATTAACGAATGGAGGGCGCTACAGAAGCTCTATCGCGATGCAAGCTGGGAGAGCTTTTTGACGGAGAGCTTTTCGACGATAGACGAAGTAAATTGTTATATAATAAATTAGTAGTATAGCATAGCATACTTACCTAGGGTAACTTATACTATAAAGATTATTCTTTACTATATCTAGTAGCTTTCTGCAGAGGTAATCAATGGATCCTGGTAGGACTGTGGAGCTACAGTCTGTCAGTATCTTTGTAAAGCTGATATAGCATCGGCTTTGGTGCGCCGTTTTAGTGAGGCATATGAAAATACCCTTGAAGAAGGAGGGTCCATGGTAGCTCCTTTTTTAGCAGCTAGATGAGCTGCTTCATTTTCAGGAATCCCTATATGCCCAGGGACCCAAAGAATCCGAACAAAGCCGCCATCCGTGTATGGAAATCTCTCCCAAGTAAGCCAGGTTGAGGCGGTGGCCCGGAAGGATTCAAAGACCTCCTGTGATGAGCCAGTGAATGGTGATAGAAGTCGTGTGGCTGCCTCTAGATTGTCTAAGCAAACCCAGAGGTTAGTAGCAAAGCGAGCTGTATGGAGTTTAAAAGCTGCTTTGACCCCAGCCAAAGCCGCTTCGGCTTCAGCATCAAAGACCTCTTGTTTGGGCTGAGAGAGAAAGACAATAAAAGATATTGTTTTCTAGATTGATATAAAGCAAAGCCAGCACCTGTCATTCCATTTGCCAGTTTAGAGCCGTCTGTGAAGGCTTTGATATCAGTATCTGGGAGGGATGTATAGAAATTAAGAAAACTAGTTGCTGCCTGTTTCTTTGACTGTGTGTGTGCTTTGATTCGCCGCCGAGCAGTTTCTCGTGGTTCCTGTGGGAGCCACGGGGCATGTTGTAGTGGGTTTAGTTGTTCTTATTCTGGTAGGGCTAGTACTTGGCGTGCAAAGCGGCTAGTTGGATGGCCAGTTTGAACTATTCTTGCGGCCCTTCTGTAAAGGGGATGGTAGGGATCCAAGCGACGGAGGCGGACTGTGGTGGAGGCAGCTATGTAGTCTAGCTCAGCTTCAGGTGGTAGAAGCCCTGATTCTCGATGGAGTATGGGTATTGAGGTTGTGCGGTAGACAGGGAGGACTGCTCTGGCACCAGCAAGTATTACCTTGGTTATCTGATCCAGGTGTCCCTGGACCCGGTTTGAGATCGAGCCTGTACGGGGGCCTGGACGTGCCCGGCCTGGCCACCAGGTTTCAGCGCCAAAGTAGACTTTGCGGAGGGCGCATGCTATGATGGCTTGCCGCATGAGATAAGGGTTGACCCCTTGTACTGTATTGCCTAAGCTGCGAAGGGCATTTGCAACAGTCATAGCTCTTGAAGCCAAATTCTTCATATGATATTTAAAGCTGAGCTTCTTATCAAAGAGGACCCCCAGCCATCGTAGATATGGACGGGTTGTGCTTCGGAGACTGTGACTTGTCCTGCTGAGACTGAGGGTGTACAGCTGGGATCTTGATCTGCTTCATATCGCGTGAAGAGAATTAACTCAAATTTTATCTAGCGCGAAGGCAATCCCCTCTGCAGAGCCCCAGTTCAGGGCTTCTTGTAGGGATTCTGATAGGCTCTGGCAGTTAGTCTGCAGAGATGGAGAGATAGCCAGGATCGCTGCATCGTCTGCGTACTCAAATCTGGCTTTTGGGCGACCCAATCGGAAGAGGGGGACAGGTAGAGCATGAATAGAATTGGTGATACTGGCGAGCCTTGTGGTAGACCACATAGTGTCTCTATTATAGGCCCACGTTCACCATCATAGTGCATGGACATTGAGTAGGCTTTATCGGACTCTGGCGGGCACACTCCTGATTCGAATCACGTGGGCCGCAAAAACGAGGAGGTATAAGGGTTTCCATTGACAGTAACGTACCGCAAGTCGGTAATGGTCAAACTAATGAGGTGTCTAGCCAAGGTCCAAGTCATTGGCAGGAAGCTAACAATCTCAATTCCCTCGGTGGTGGCAAACGTAGCCTAGCAGTCGTGCAAAGAAGTCGCATTAGATCTTGAGACAAAATGGGACCGGACATAACTTTTGGGATACATATGGAGTGGGTTGTATTCGTGGTTGGTTTGTGTCCTAACCTCATGAACTGAGTACATGAACCTAATGGATCAATTCACAATAATGACGGTCGCAAATACGCTCAATACCATCTAGCTTCGGTGGTACGACTGCCTCTTTTCCCACCTTTTCTGCTCCTTTCTGATTCCATCCCAATACTCATCGGACTCCATCGGCGGGCTACCTGTGAGTAAGTCTGGTCCAGATTCAACGAGCGAAAGCTCAGCGTAGTTGGCCGTGGGTTCCGTGTCGCGAACCTTGCCCGTGGAATGTAGTGGCCTGCGCCCCAGGGACACCAGGTTTTCGGGCACAGGTTTATCCCCTTTGACATGTAGATACTTGGCATCTAGTAGCTGATACTTTGCAGCCCACACAAGTGGCTCCTTGATTTGTGCACCTTGGAATTCGTTTTTACTTCTTTCCGCTTCGGCACTGGCGCCTACAGGGACACCCAGGGCCGCGAGTAAGTCGGCGGAGATGCCACCCCGAGCGCCAAAGACGCTTCTGCTTTGGCTAAAGGTCACGGTATCCGCTAGTTCGTACAGTCCTGTCAAGTACCAAATTTTCGGGCTGGTGACCAGTGTCTTGAGGGTGGGGTTGGCTACAACCAACCACCTCTCGAGGGTTCTCCTGCAGGACTCTTTTGTCAAGATCCTCTCGTCAAGGAACTTCCGGGGACTGGGCAGCAAGTTAGCTAATATCCGGGAAAGCACTCGGGTGGTTGAGAGAGGTCACATACTTCTGTAGCTCAATCTTGCGCCCTGTTTTTGCATATACGAACATCGAGTCGGACTTAGAGAAGGTAGATCCCAGCGAGGCAACATCGAGCGCGTTGATCTCAGCCGAGATCTTTATCGACGGGTCCGTTCCGAGCAGCTGGTTCTCAATCTCGAAGACATGTGCGGATTGTTCAAGTTCATGGGCCCTATGATTTTACATGTAAGCCAAATACCAGATAAGAAAGGGAGTGAGTGGCTCGTACTCAAGATCCTCACCAGCCAAATACCACAGGGAATCGTCGGTCGCTTTGGAATAGTGCCCAAAGCACAGGTGGCCAAGACGTAGTTGCGCTGGCTTCTTCCCGAACCCGTAGAGAAAATAGTGTTGATCGTTGTACCTGGGCATGTTTTTTGACCAGATGATGCCCGTGTTTCAAGGTTACCTTCCAGTGGTCTTGAGTGTTCTTCTGCCTTTCTTATCTGGAGCCTTCGAAAGAATAGTGTGGCTTAGCGGGAGAGTGACATGGTGTCAGGCGATCGTCGTCGGATTGGATCAAGGTCACCAGTCGGAACAATTGCTCATCAAAACGAGAGTACCATGCCACTAGGGGGAGATGGTGAACTGGAGCAGCCCGGCTAGATTCGGGTTCCATGTGCATGTCCTATTAGTTCCATGGAAACCTAGGTGGGCGGTGGCATCCGTTTTCAGCTCGCAGCCACAATCATTCCCGCGTGTTCCAAGATGTCTATGAGTTTGGCTTGAGTCAAAATTCAGTAGACAATCGGATTGGCCTTTTGACAGCCAGGCCTCGTCGAATCACACAGTAAGGCGGGATTCCTCTCAATGACGTATATTGAAGAGGCATGTTCACGCTACGTGGATACTCTACCTTAAGACAGTATGCGTCTAGCATACTACTTAGGAATATGTAGAGCACGCATACTGTCTGAGAATACGAGATGACATTTAGGGGCACTCCTCTTGGGACTGCGCGGCTTACCATGCCTGAGAAATCGTGATGCAATCGAAATATAGTACTGCAAGCGGTCTGAACCTGTCAGAGCTTCTATGGTTCGTGCTGGTCATCGGACAAGGGCGCTGGCGACCTAGAACGACGACCTAGAACGGTGGCTGTACGGTCAGGAGGCGTCTTCAGGATCTGTTCAGGATCCAAAATGCTAGCCACAGGTCAGGTGATCTTGCGCATGCTCGAGTTGATCCATGGGGATGGACAGTCGGCCAATAGACCAGACCCGATAAGTAAGATCGCCGAGGGGTGCTGTACAGGACTCTGCACTGTTAGCAAGGTGCGAAGGACCTGTCTGACCTCGTTAAGAACCGAACCCTTCGCCCGCAATCCGAGCAAGCAATCGTCTTGCCTGCATTTGTATCGCCACAACGCTAGTTCATAAAGTCATACAAGTCTTGGTTTTTTCAAACTTCCTCCTACAACACATCCTACTAGTGGCAATGGACTTTATGGAGATCTGTGAGGTGTTCGGGGGATCCATACTCCCAGACGAGTTTCGTGGTAACTATGAGGACGCGGACCGTCATATCGCGGCTCTTGAGCAAGAGGTTATCGCAGGACCGAGATCAACAACTGCGAGAGCGAGGACAACCCTCCTCCGAGCCATTTACTACACGCTTTCAGGAGACTTCAGAATGGCTCGTGAATATATACATACCCTTCGTGGCTTGCAACATCGAGGGCTGGAGCGGATTTGGGTGCTCCGTGGGCAGATGTACGAATTTTACGCTGCCATGCTGCAGCATCGCCCAACAGCTATTGCATTTGGGATGATCCCTGGGGATCCATACGAAAGGTTGTGGAAGGACGATTCTGATTTGAAGGCTCTGCACGTACAGGCCAAAGAGGCTGGACGAGCCATATGTGCTACCCAATCGACAACCTTGGTCGAGAGGCTAGAGCAGGCAGTGATTCTGGACGTATGGTCCTTCCTGGATACTTTGCAGTCTTCCTACCTTCTACACCCTAATTTCACACCACTTGTTACCGCGGAATCCCTACCACAGGGTAAGGAAGGGAACCTGAGTTTCCTGAATTTTCCACTCCCATATTTGTCTGGTACCCTAGCAAACGATATGAGTCATTCAGGCAATACAACGTTTCAGAATCTCCTGCAGAGAATGTCAAACGACATCAAATGGGCGAAAGGAGCTTTAAAGGAAGACCCTGCTTCTACCCGCCTTGAGGCCGAATACGAAAAGGCCAGCGACTATGCGGGCATGGGACTGTGCAAGATAAACGAAGGAGATCGGATATTGTCACCCTCATATACGAGTCCGATAGCATTTAATTTGATCTGTGAAATCCGCGACAATGGGTGGGCAAATATGGCCTGGGACACATTGGAGCCGACCTTTCCGCTGCAGGATAACGACGGGGCCCAGAGGTGCTATGCGGAGGCCCTCTTCTATATGGAGGCTGCATGTGCCCCAAGGGGCCAAGCCGCTGTCTACCTGCGCAGGGGCTGCGTGAATCACGCAGAAGGGGTCCGATCACACGCAGGACCTGACTGCGCGCATTGTGTGCAGGCTGAGAAGGATTTCTCGACAGCGCTGAGCTTGTTTACCAATGACAACGTGAACCGGAGCCTGACTATCTGCCATCTCATTCTTCTCGGCTGTAGCCGCGGCCGGCATGAATTCGCAGTGGACACAGCAAGACGCTTAGGGGCCGAGTTGCGCAAAGCGCAGAGCCCAAAGCTATCCCACTTCCTCGGGGCATTGATGCTTCGCTTTGCTCACTTTCAGTTCTCCCAACATAAGAACACTACCGTGGCTGCTGCTTGCTGTAAATGTGCCGCTGTCTACCATCAGGAATTGGACAGTCCTCTGGGCTCTCTTTTTACAGCCGAAGCATGCATTACTCTGTACAAACGAACACACAACTGGGCACTCGCGGAGGCGCAGGTTAGAGACAGCATAAACCATTCCAGAAACATACAGGGCGCATTCACATGTATCGACGACATTTTGTCTCGCGGAGCCAGCCTTCAACATCTCCAAATGCCAAGGGCTACCCTCCTCCTCGAGTTTGACACATTGGTAAAATCTGTCTGCTCGATGACCGGAAACGAGAACCTACGTTCGCAGTGGGAGGCGGTACGCCACAGTCTTCAACCGAGAATTCCTCCGAGGAATCCCTCCAGGGGTCCCCCTAATATCATGGGGATTGCGCCTCTGAGTGAGGAGGCGAGACGTCATCTCAATGACCCACTATTTGGGTGCGGTGAATCCGAGATAGCCTACTTTATGCGAACTTATGAGACGCGAAACCAGTTTATCGCCAGCTATTTCCAATCTATTGACCGTTGCTTTGAGGCAATCGGGAGAGGAGATATGGACGCCGCCGATGCCCAACTTGAAGGATTTGTCTCCACCTGCGTCTCAGAGAACACTCTGAGAGTAAGGGATGTGCTCGACCACATGATCCCCACTCTAGCACAACTTGGCCGGGTAGATGAAATGAGACAGGCTCTTCCACACTTTCTTTCGGATTGGTTCGTTGCAGATGGGGTAGAGGACATTGGTATCGTCTGCGATCGCAGAGGAGTACCCAGTGACATCCGGGAACACGCCTTACAGCAGCGCAGGAACATTGCCCAACAGGACATATCAATGTGCTTCATGGCCCAGGCTTGGGATAAAGGACTTGCGATACTGCATATTATCGCCTCCGTCCTCCCTGGCTTTTTCGATAAATTAAGGACGGAGCCAAAGCCAGACACCTGGCAACTGCTCACCTTTGTCGGTGCTTTTTATGAGCGGGCTTCGAAGCTCCACAAAGCGATGGATAATTATTTAGACGGTCTATACCAGTTTGAAAATTTGAGATCTATGATTCCAAACCCCGACGACCGACGCAGGGCTTACTCGACGCTGCACACTGCAGAGTTATTCTGCGGGCTCGCTCGAACGTCATTCGCGCTGTCCCAGCGGGCTGGGGCGAAAAGTCCACAAGAGTGCCGTCTACCTGCCTCTTCCTGGCTAGATCAGACGCTCATCTTTCTCGAGCAAGGACGGGGAAGAACTTTACTCGATATACTACAGGCGCATGATTTTGCAGGGGTAGAGGGGCTTCAAAGGTGGATGGAAGAGTCATACCGAAATCGCCTGCTGTCAACATTGATCCATTCACAGTGCAAGCCTGGGGATGAGCAGGGCTTTTTGGAAAGGGCACGCAATGTTGCAGAAAAGCTCGAGATTCCTGAGGATACATTCAATCCAGTTGAAGAAGCTCTCAAGGATAGGAACGAGACCACAGCACAGATCTTCAAAAACACCATGTTCGTCCCAGATATAGGTGCAATTCTTAGCTCAATTCCTCCCAACGCGATCGTCATAGAAGTTGGCATTTGTATGAGTGGCATGATAGCCATGTGCGTCTCATCCTCGGGTATCCAGTCTGTGCACCAGTCCAGCCTCGGGACATACGCACTACGCCGACTAGTTGTTCGTTATCTTGGAAAGATATTGGCCTTCCAGGAAGACCCAACCCCCTCTGAGGCGGCAGAGCTGAGGGTGAGCCTCGATGATATTGCGGCTACGCTATCTACCCACCTGATCGAACCGTTCGCTGAACATATTCGTGCGAGCGATACTATCATTTTTGTGCCTACCTCATATCTGAACGTCTTTCCCCTTGGTGCATTGATGCTGGACGACGAACCTCTGGTCCTGGCGAAGCCATTCTACCAGGTACCCAGTTTGGTTGTTCTCCAGCGACTTTCGGAAAAGGCAGCAAAATCCAGGCGAGGCAACAGGATCTGCGCAGTAGCAGACTATGATGAAGAGAACCAGATAGTTTATGTTGGCCCTGAAGTTGTTTCGGCCTGCAGTTCCCTTGGCGCAGAGCCGGTCAAGAGGGACGAGTTCTTGCAATCTATCGAAACAGCTGAACTCATACATATTGCATCTCATGGTAGCGAGAACTATTCCTCCCCTTGGGAGTCCACAATCCTCGGCGACACGTTTCGTGTCCTCGACATGGCCACAAAGAATTGCAGCGCCTCGCTAGTGGTTTTCAGCTGCTGCCTCAGTGGCAAGGGGCAGATAAGCTCCGGTGATGACCTTGTGGGGTTCGCACATGCTGTACTTCAATCCGGCGCGCAGGCATTCCTGGGGGGTCTATGGAAAGTCTGCGACGAACTAACCATGCTATTGATGCATTTGTTCTACAAAATACTATCGGCACACGGAAACGCCCCTTCAGGTACTGCGATATCCGTGGCAGACGCCTGGCATCAGGCCGTCCGAGCTTTCTACCGGCTAGACGAACAAAGCGCACTTGCACTGATTGATGAACTGGAGAACCTGTGGCGAGCCACCCAGGGCACAAGCGCTCGGCCGGACGGTGAGTATGATGATCTAGAGTATGAGCTGGATGAATTACGGGAGATGATAACGGAAGGAAAAGCGGACTTTACGTCTCCTCGCAATTGGGCTCCATTTGCTCTGGTCGGATGTGGGAATGTCAGGATTGTGGGATCAGCTCCACACGGACAAGAGGTTGAACTCGCTAATGGGGCCAGTGAAGTATGATAATATGCTACTTTGCTTGGTGGCTCTCGTCAGAATGAAGAGCTTGATGGAGAGGTTCAGCATCGGCACAATCGTTGTTCCTCTGCTCGGTTGGAATGAAAGGTCAAGGTTGCAAAAGTGATTACATCTGTCATGTCAGGTTGCATATTCTATGGTAAATATTGACAGTTCCCGACATTCTTCAACCCCTCCTTCCTTGCTCATACGTGTATAGTTGGTTTACAATCTGCGATATCTCCGTAACCTTGTTCATCGTAGCTTCATTTACCCGTGGACAGAATAGGTGCTGTACCTTGTCAGGATGCCACCTCAACCGCTCGACTTTTAAATTAGGAAGAAGTTGAGCCCTCGCATCTATCGAAGCACCGTAGCGCAGGAATGCTTCAATATCAGCCTGGCCCCCGTCTCGACAGCTTCGAAAAGATCCAGCCTCAGTCGGCCAGGGAATTGATGTGGGCGGACTCCTACTCCTACGGGAGGCTACCGTCGAGTTCTTTAGCTCTTCCCAGCGCGGTTATACTCCCTTCACCGCTTCGCTTTAGCCTCCTCTGCGGCTTTGGCGCGTTGGCGTTTCGCGGCCTTTTCGCGGCTGGCTTTCGCCTCACGCTCTTGTTGTTCCTTTCTGAGTGTGTCCTCACGATGCTGTTGCTCTCTTTTCGATCTTTCCTCGCGTTCCCGACGTTCTCGCTCGCTCTTCACTTCCCTCTCCTTTTGGGCCTGTTGCCCGTGTTCACGCCTGGCTCGGGCCTCTCTTTCCGATTACTGTGGCCTCCCTGGGGTAGGTGTTGAGGTGGATGGCCGTCGATAATATGAGCGAGTACCAAAGTCGTCACGAGGATACCGAGCATACGAACGCGTGTTCTCATTATACAACAGGTCATCCAACTCCTTCTCCAAATGAGCTCGAGTAGTTCCATCTAGTTGCGTTGGAGAAAATGCCTCGGCACCAGGAAACGAGCGCACGACCATGTTGTGGATATTGAACCTTCCAATGGGCGTCAAGCTGTTCTCAAGACCATATTGACCATCCTTACTGATCCACAAGGGACCCAGATACAGAGGGACGCCGTTCGCGATTAACTTTAGAGTGTCCAAATCGTGAAGTAAACGTCCGTTTACAGTGGCACCGGTTGTACTAGGAGAGCAGACTCCCCGTAGGAGGGCTCAGCCGCCCATGTTCATGTTTGCAGGCAGTATCCCGAGGCATGGCCCACCGAGCTTGCCCCATGCACCGCATACACCATCGTACCTAACGTCGCGATCGATGTAAGTCATATGTATCAGACTCTGAAATCATATGTGTAAAGGATTAGGCCTATCAGAGGCTGTATCCAAGCGTCAGTGGGTCTATGGATTGGACCCGCGTATACTTGGATGCCTACAAATAGGGACTTATTGTCCCTACGCTCCTAATGAGAAGAAGCCACTGAGATAGTTGAATACATCGTCGTCCTATAAGGTCCTCCGATCTATATGATGGTTGGCGTGTCATCTATACGCCTACACTGCAGTCCCTCTATACGGAAGACCCCCGACCAAGCTCTTCCCCCGAGTTCTTTACAATATGGATGGGACTGACCAGAAGTGACCAGCGGGAGGTTAATATCCCCTCAGATACGGGTGAATGAGCTGAACATTGTTCAACGCAACACCATTGATGATGACATATTTCGTGGGGCCGAATGGCTCCAGGCGCCGGTACGAAGACTGCTGTGTAGCTCCATAACCGGCCACAAAAACCGATTTTGAACCCTCGCTTGAACTGGGACCAGGTCGAATCAGGCTGATCATAACGGGTGAAGCTGGACATGGTGAATGATACGGGCTTCCTGGCAGGCGGTGTCTTGATTATGATGAAAATTGATCGATGGGGTTTGGTTAATCAACGTGCTAGCAACTTACTTACGAGCAGCCAGTCCTTATAATTCGATTGTGGCGAAGGATCACGGAGCACGATAGTAGCTATTAAGCAGTGGAAACAAGCCATGGTACCATTTCTGCTTCCAGATGCATCACAGGCTACGAGCATGGAGGCTTAGCCTTCGTCCCAGTAAATTTTCGTGGCATCGATTGGTTCTTACCGCCAGTCTCTACGAATCCAGCTTCGAGCGGCCTCTGGACATTGTCCAGGACTAAAGCGCGTTGGGCATAGTTGTCTTATCGACCTAATTGATGGCATTCCTGTGTGCGTCATGTCTGATTCCATTATTCCTTGCAAGGTAATGTTCAAGTCAATGCTGCATCAAAGGCATATTGCGGTAAATATATAGGTAGGTAGCTATCGCAAATATCCACTCACCCACACCCCAGGCGACATGCTAGCCATGGTCACATCATGCCTCCAGGCTCCCATTCTATTCAATTCTTCCAGATATACTCCCCACTCCTCGTTGAAATCCCTCGTCATCTGCGCCTCTCTCGACCATGTCTCCGAATCCATCTCCCTGGGCACTGAATCTCGAGGAATAGGTACTGACGGAAACCGCTGCCCAGTCATGGGATCCACCAAATCACCTCCGTGGGCGGCTAGAAACGCATTGAATCGTTGGTACTGTATCTCGGGATCCCCCAACGTATCTCTCAACATCACCAGATGAAATCCCTCTCTTGTGAGTACCGGGGTCGCGGCATTCATTATGTGTTGGATGTGATGGGTGCGGTAGAATATGGCCATGGCCTGATACGAGAATTGGTCAGGCGCGGGCATGTGGTTTTCTGACGCAAACATGTAGTAGCGGCGGCTGAGGTTATTGTTGTCGGAGTAGAACAGGGCCGTGAAGACAAAAGCATATTTGACGGGATCGAAGCCCGTGGGGTCGGCTGGTGGGACTTTGGTGAAATAGGTGAATATTGCATCTAGGAGCCGGGTGAACAGTGGGGTGGGTTGCTTGGATGCAGTTATTAGAGGGCCCCAGCCTTGCTGCGCGGCTGGTTCATTTGCATGTCTGAAGAAGTGTCCAAATGACATTACTGTTGGGATTTTGGGCAGGTTCAAGGGACGAAAGTTGTTGGGCGATTCCTACGAATGAACAGGTCATTTATGATTCTGGACTCTTGAACTTGGTAGAGACATCTGCAGAACTGCCATTCTTGTGATGATCTACAGACCCGGATCCAGACCCGCCTAGACGGGGTCCAGATGACTTGTCGTGTGCTTTTGAGTAAATCTATCCATGGGACGGATCCCGAGTTAGACTTTGCAGGAGCCGGATATCATCGGCAACCAAGAAAGCGTGACAGGAGGCGGCACGGACCATATATGCGAGGCTAGCGCTAGTATATTCAGGATAGGGGATGGAGTCGACGAGCTTTGGGCAGCTAAGGCGCCATTGATCGATACCTGCCGCGATCCTTCTAGTCTTATGTTCTGAGGAATATTGATCTACAATCCACCACCTGCCGCAACTATAGACAAGGAAATCACATATGAATACATAAAATTACAACTCAATTGGCTCTTACTACAACTGACAATAAACCAATATTCAGGAGGGTACAGGAAGAGATAGTGTTAGTATTGAAGTAATAACTTGCAAACTATAATAAAAATATTGAGTTCTTAAGAAAAACAACAAACGTCAAGACAAGCCGCAGAATGGACCCTACTTCTTGCTTACCTTCTTAAGAAGACTCTTCTTCTCCTCCTCCAATCTTTCCCTCGAATCTGCCTTCGACTTCTCATTTACCCCCCTCAAAACCTCCATCATCTCCTTGCCCTCTTCCGCACTCAACCTCCCCCTAGCAACGTCTTTTTCAATAACCTTGCACTCCAGATCAGCGATCTCGCTCAAAGCCTGGTCCACGACCCGCTGCTTTTCCGCAATAATGCGATCCACATCAGCTGTGGTCATTTCCGCTCTGGTCGACCGCCTGGGTTGTGACCTGAGTGAGCTTCTGGACGACTGCATCGAGTGCGGGTCGGGTCTTCACATCCTTCCACAGTCCCATTTGCAGGACTACCTCCTCACCAGTCTTGCTCCACTCCGCACGATCGTATGCCTTCCTTGGCTTGGTAGGTGTTATGACATGTGCTTGCAATTTCCATTCCGAGTATGTGGCGCGGTGGTCGGATCCGTAATTCTCATGGTACAGGTGACATTTGACAAGTAGGTTAGGATGGTTGGTGACCAATGGACGTGTCACCCAATACAATCTTTCTGTGTGGATATTTGTGGCATAGCTTCTCTCACAACTTTGGCTGGAGGAAGAGCCCCCAGTAAAATCCAGGCGCAAGAACCAGGTTTTGTTCTGTATCTTTAATCACAGTCCTTGTGTTAAAAGTAACCTTCAGTCAATCTAATAGTGAAACCTAGTGTAACAAGCGTGGGCGCCTGGGAAGTAAGAATATCACCCCCATACATCAGACTATAATTCTCATTAAGCCTTGTAAAGATAGATCATAACAAGCATAATACCAATTGTAAAGTTTAAAAACCTATAAATGCTGCTGTTTCTTTTAAGGTCTTGATAAATTAGAAGGGATTCCCTACATGTACATAGAGAGTATCACGTACAGAGGATTGTCTCACTCCATACCATTAGCGATCTTGATCAGTATGTTTCCTTCCGATGCGTATCAACCAGGCTGAATGCTATCGGGTCGCGGGGCAGTAGGTTTAGGTCCTTGAGTAGGCGTAGCAAACGTGCAGATGAGCCTACGATTGGTGGCTGCGTCAAATGACCTTGGGAAAAGCGTGCCGGGTTTCTCTTTTGGGAGGGAAAGACACAGCCGCGACAAAGTGTGTGCAGATAACCAATCCAATCCGGATAAGGGAACAGAGTCTGATCTGGCTTGTGCAATTTACGGTGAGACTCTGGCAACGCTACGGACTTTACAGGTCAAATACATGCTTGCTATTTTTCTTGCTATCATCACGCGAATATGAATCAAGGGTGCATTTGGGCCATTATTGCTGCGGTTGATGCGAGTATCGGATCAGCTGAACAAAGTCGAATCAATCCGAATTCCTTGCTAATAAAGTGAGATATCACAAGAATCTATTCGGTGTTGGTTATCATATACTATGGGTCCCTATACTTAAATTTCCGTTTAGACTTCCCACTCATCCACCTATATTTACTGAGGGGAAAAATGTCCGCTAGAGACTGGAGGCACAGTAGGGTATTGAAGAACTGGGGTTTGGAAACGGGACGTTGTACCAGGGTTGAGTCAATCCCTGTAGCTGGCCGTAATGATATTGGGGGACGTTGCTGGGATAATACTGCAATATCTTTAATGGTGGTTTCACCTAATCTAATAAAACCACAAAAACCATAACTGACAGTTTTAACCAAACTTGAATTAGTTTTACCCAGGGGAAACTGAAACCAGTGCGATTCCCTAGGCTAGGGACTGAACCTGAACTGCTGTGAGTTCAGTGAGGGTCGGATTCGATTTTAGCGGTTCAGTTATGCAACTCTACGCCTAATTCAATAATCAGGTGGCTGGCTTCAACTGATGTAGGATGGTGCAGCTGGGCATGCCAGTAAAGATGCCCTTAAGGAGCTTTAAGAGCGTGCTATCTACCCTATTAACTGGCCGGCCTTCTCACCTAATCTAAATCCCATTGGCACAGTTTAGATGGATTGAAAGACTGAATTCAAAATAGATATCCAGATGATCACCAACTATCATATAATGCTTCTACGAGAGGTGGTTCAAGCTGCCTGACATGCAGTCCCAGATGCAGTCCCTGAGGGTTTCCTTAGGGATCTAATTGAATATATGCAAGCCAGGTGCCAGGCAGTGATCGATGCGGAAGAGGGCCCATACAGAATTCTAGATAATTACTAGATAGCTAGAAGTAATATTATTCGTTCCTTGCAAAGCCCCAGTGTACTCACAAAATCTCCGGGTCAACTGGAGTATACAATATCATCAGTGCGGCATTTGGCGTTTAGGTCGACGTCCACAGAGGATGCCTCCTATGATATCCGTTAGAAGATCTGGCATACCAGAACAGGGGCAAGGCAGCCTTCGTTACGTTCCAGCACCCGAGATATTAAAGTTTGGCTCTCTAGGGTCATCTCTCGGATACATCCAATGGAGTACACCGTCGATAAGCCTTGATGTGCTGCTCAAGGTCTTCAAGATGCCTATTCCATGTAAGTGTTATGACCCATAATATTTATCCTCCCTAGATCTGACCTTGCGATCTTCTCGCTCTTCTTCGCTACATAGAGACAGCCAGTTTGGAGTCTACGACATCGTTCGCACGGCGACCCCTGTTTATTTCTCTTTCTGCTCCCTACAGCTGATGCATGTGTTGTTGACTCGATGACGCCCATGAGCTGGTGTTAGCAAGTCGGATTAGACCGATCTTGGGGTTCAATCGGCTCGACGATGTGTGAGAACAGCAGTAATCTCCATCAATGAGAATCCAGTGGGCATTGGTTCCACGTTTAAAAATGGCTGGAAAATGGATCTGCAGTTCCATAAGAGGTGTGGTTGACTAACAGTGATCGCAGAGTTTTATTTCATGGTCTTTGACAAGATTTACCAGCTAGTTGATCTACTGAACGATTATCCCTCTGGTACTGCCACAGTTTGGAAGCCGACTTACAGTTATGATAGCTGCCCACACACGATGACTCTAGTGTTCAAAGCAGTGGTAGAGGTGAGAGTGGTAGGGCATGTACTTGAACCTACAACTTTAATTATGTCTCAAAGGCGACGAGGGTTTCCTGGCATGTCTTCCTTCGTTGACGGAGCTGAACGTGACTACCTGAGGGATGTGAGAGGGCACTTTTCCTCTTCTATAAATGTCAAGGGAGTGAATCCTTATCGACTAGTACAAGCTGGCAGACAAATACCATATTAAGGATTGATTTCGGGAATGGAAGGACGGGCTGCTTCAGTGGCGTTTACCAACGCCTCATTCTCCTAGCCATACTAGTTTGTAATTCGAGCGGCACATCTAATGATTATGTACACTTCCCAAAACACACTCACAAAGATGGCCTCCCAGATAATTCGCTTGACTGCTACATAGCTTCTTTTCATGCCTGTCTTGGCATTGACAAGGAATCCACCCGTTTGCCATATAGCGCAGCGTTTTTGCTATGACAGAAGTTTGCCTATATGCAGCAGGCAATCAAGCATTTCCATCAAATCGTACAATGAGTTAGACACTTCTGAGACGACCAACGACGTGCTCAAGGGCACTGTTTTGTACTGTATCAACTAACCCGTAGGAAAGGTGGTCGGCAGGGATTTGGCAGGAGCAGGCACGGTTGGGCGAGCAAACTAGGTCACCCTTGACAGAGCAAGAGAGCAAAGGTCAGCTGGCCATGATAGGCTTAGCAAAGAAGACAACTATCAGGACACTCACCTCAAGGCAAAAATCGAGCACTTTGCCACTCTGGTCTATTTGCGCTGAGAGCTGAGGAATAGTTTCGTTCCTGGCAATAGCATTTTCTGCGAACATGCCTACAGAGGCTCGCTCATCATGCTGGGCAGTAGCATTCACGTTGGACGTCTTCCCAGGAAGACGGTATGGGTTGCCCACAATAATAACTGATTTAATTGATTCAAGGGCCGAAGTACTGAGTTGGCTTAGTACATTAAGCATTAAGGTTGCTCCTTGAGAATATCCAAAGAGACTGTACTTCTGGTTAGGACAGTCGCGGAGTCCTTGAACAATAGTTTCAACAACGAACTTCTCCCCAGTGGTGGTGTTTTGATCTGGTGCAGCTGGGTACTCTACCGGCAGACTGACACCACCAGTGACATTCGCAAGAATGTTTTGTATCAGGGGATAAAACATCAAGGAAACCCCTTGCGGCTCATTCGTGCCACGAGCGTCAATCAACTCTGTCAGTGCAAGTGTTAGATGGGTATTTTCTTACATGCTTTTATTTGTCTGGGGACCGAAACTAGATCACTTACTATAGCTGGCGCATCGCCTAGCTTCCGAAGGAGGCGTAATGTTTGCATGTGGCAGTGTCAGGAACTGTGCCATCCCACACCGGCACTCTAATGCTGTACCGGTATCTGCGTCAACATTATAGTGGATATTGTGAGTAGCTTTGTTGCTCGTTCCTGACACCCATCTATTGTTCCCAGGGTGACTGGTACAAGCCAGGGCAGAGATGGCCAACACGAGGAAGGATAATGGCATGAACATTGACTGAATCATTGTGATAGGCAGATACTCTATTTGAGCGAGGCATCCCGAACAGCTTCCTTGGGGAATGAGTGTACAGTACTTATAGCCGATTATCTACTCTGCATCGACTGGCATACACTACTGGCATTGCAGAATTGGGATGTGGATACCTCGTACACTAACCTCGTACACTAACCTCGTACGCGTCTCCAAATACGGAAAGGATAAATCTGCAGTCTCAGTTTCCATGGGTCCGCGACACATTTGACAGAGACATGAGACAATAAGAATTGTTCGGCTATATTCTCGACCCACAGCACGCAACAAGCGAATCAGACTGAACTGTGTTCTGGGTCTGACGGCTGAGAAGGACCACGCAAGGTCAAACATACAGAACTAATATGGGCCCAGTTGGGCATTACGAAAAACTTAGCTCCCCTTTATATGTTAAGTGCGATAGTTACACATATCAGATTTCTTATGGTCTCCGCGAAAGTTACCATTTTGTCACCATACTGGCCGCTATCGGCAGGTTCAGTTATCCAGGGAGACGCCACCATTAACATTCTCATTTGACCAATCATATTGCTTGAATCTATCATGGTTTCAACGTGCTGTTTTGCAGAGATTTGGTGGTGCTTCCTTCATCTTTGGATATAAGCACTACGTTAGATAGATTGCCAAAAGCAGAACTTTCATCCATTTGCATTCCGTGCATATACAAGAACGACTAGCGCGGAATGGCTAGCACACCTGTCTATATGACTGAAGCTTTTCTATTTCCGCCTTCTGAACATACTATCTTTGCAGAAGCAATAACAGGGTTTCTCCAGTATCCTTTAGAAAATCACGTGCATAGAGGCATACCTGCCTGTGATGCAAGGCGGCTGAAGAAACCATAATCATTTCCCTATTCAGGAAGACGGATCCATCCATTCGTCACTAAGGCTGCTTCACCGGCAAGAAGGATTGTCGACACCCCGTCCCCACGTCCATTCAAATGCACCTCCACAGTGATATAGCTTTGCCGTCCAATCTCTGATCCCTGGTCAAAGTTAAATCTATATTTCCCGTTTTCCTTGCCATCCTGTAGTGCGAGGAATGTTGCTAATGCGGCTGAGCCGCTACCACACGCGGGATCTTCCAAGTTGATCGCAATCATGCGTACACGAAGATCCTGTACTGTTGTGTCTTGCTCCATGCGGGCAGCACCAAGCCGACGATAGTACATCGTACCAGTAAAGGATGGACTCCATCCATCATCCAAATCAACAGTTGGGCTAGCACTTGCAGACACACTGGCGAACAGATCTGGGAAATTGGTGAAATCGGCCAGGACGTAGGTGACACCTTTGACAATGGATACGACGGGATATCCTGTTTGCAGGCGTGCGGCATTTGAGTCTTTTCGGAGAGAAGATTGAGTGACAAGGAGAGTTTCTGCAGGTGCGAACTTAGAATGAGTGTGTATGTCGTGAGGGATTTCTGCCGAGACAACCCGACTTTCTCGGTCATAGCGAATAGTCACCGGTCCAGCCTTCGTTATCAGCGTCCGCATCTCCTGTCCATCTGTGGTAGAAACTGGAGATTGTTGAAACATATTGCGGAACAGCACATGGCCGGTTCCAATGACTGGATGACCTGCAAAGTCCATCTCATTTACCGGGGTGAAAATGTCCACTCGAGGTGATTGAGAGGGGTCATCATCGTACAAAAAAACTGTTTCGGAAAAGTTGAATTCTCGGGCAATTTTCTGCTTCTGCTCTTTTGATAGGCTCTCCTTCCCGACCTTCACAATAGCCAATTGGTTACCCGAGAAGCTATATATACACAATTAGCTGGGAGTCAACAGCAAATCCACTAGGGAGAATTCCTCGAATTGTCGAAAGTCATTTGCTGAGGTGAAAATACCTTTCAGCAGTGAAAACGTCCACCGTTACTATAAGTGGTCATTAGAATTTTCGCCTGAGGGTAGCTGGTTACTGAAATATGAAGGACCTACCGAATGGAGCTGACTTTTGAGACATATCGACTAGAGGATGCGATGCCGCCCAGTATACCAAGTCTAGGTGTCGTAGTGTACTCCTTTTTGAGGGGTGTTCAGAGTTCGAAATAAAGAACACAGACAATGTAATCACGTCAAAGCTCTTCCCCCGGGTTTTATTGAACCATGCAAGCACTAGAGCCGACTTTGACCGAGCCGATTTCGGGGAACGCCAGTGAGGAAACCATGGAGCCGCCGACTGTAACCGAACCAGCATCAGAGTTCAGTCTAATGGAGTACATCCCATTGATTGCTGGTTAAATGTATCTAAGATTCGCCGGCCACTGAAGCGCAACTCCGAGCCGCTGGCAAAGCTAAAACTGTGGACCCTTAGCTTACTTTGTTTTGAAGGCAGACCGGCTTTGTTATTTAATTCCTTGTACCACCATTACACTACTCATCATTCGCACCATTCCAAAATGTCTCAGGGAGAAGGTGCCGGTAGCTATTTTGCCAAAGGATACTTTGCCATGCCTATTATGAGTAGAGCTTTCATATCTTCCGGTATCGGATGACCCAAGATCTTCAATTGTCGGTTAGCTTCGGTATGCTTTGGTTCCTTGCTCATGATAAACCTTGGGATATGGGTTTATTTAGACCTTCCCTTTCATGCCGAAAGCGCCTTTCTTGTAGTCAGTTGCAGAGTCGGTAGAGAAATATTTATAATTACTCTATGAGAACAGTTTCATCAATCTAGTGAAGGCCTGGCTTGCTACAACTACCGTCCTCCAGCTCTGATATTGCATCGCAGTATCTCGACATGTCCTTTCACACAGCGCTAACCAGAAGGCTTGGGATAAGGAGCCAGTATTTCCCTCATTGGTTGGTTGGGTAGCTACTAACTTTTCTTTGTACAGCCCCTGTGATACAGGGTGGAATGCAGTGGGTCGCCTATGCTGAGCTCGCCGCAGCCGTCAGTAATGCTGGGGCTCTTGGAATCGTACGTCTTCTGAGACCTACCGCCTTTGAACACATTTAATAGTTCCTACCGAACAAGTGCACGAGGTGTCCCTCCTTCGCTGACATACGTCTAAGCTTTCAGCTCTCAGCCAACCAACCCCGGCAGCCCTGCGAAATGAGATCCGGAAATGCCGCTCTCTAACCTCGAAACCATTTGGCGTCAATCTAACAATGTTGCCGGCTCTCAACCCCCCAGATTATCTTGCATATGCACAAGCTATCGTTGATGAAGGCGTTCAAATAGTCGAAACAGCTGGCTCGAACCCGGCATCGATCATCGCTCCACTCAAAGAAGCTAACATCACGATCATCCACAAGTGCACTTCGATTAGACACGCTAGGTCTGCTGTAAAGCTTGGTGTTGACTTTCTGTCTATAGACGGGTTTGAATGTGCAGGCCATATCGGAGAGAACGATGTCACGAATCTTATTCTGCTGAGCCGTGCCAGACAGGAACTCGGGATCCCCTTCATTGCGTCTGGTGGCTTTGCAGACGGGTATGGCTTGGCTGCTGCACTGATTCTTGGCGCGGAAGGTATCAACATGGGAACGCGATTCTTGTGTACAAAGGAGGCCCCGGTCCATCACAATGTAAAACAGGCAATCATCGGTGCCAGAGAAACCGACACCACTCTTGTCCTCAGAAGGTGGAGAAACACTTCTCGACTCTACGCCAACAAGGTGGCGAAGGAAGTCTTGAAAATTGAGGAAAAGAGCAAAATAGCGGACTTTGAGCAGGTTGCGCCGCTTGTCAGCGGGCAAAGAAGTCGACAGGTATTTAAAGACGGAGACGTTAATTCCGGAGTGAGTAGTGGACAAGCTTGGTACTGGGTCCGGGAGTGGCTAACGTATGTGTCTAGGTTTGGACAGCTGGTCAGGCCATAGGGCTCATTCATGATATTCCAACTTGTGCAGAACTGCTCAGTAGGATGGATATGGAAGCTGCTGAGGCTATAAAGCGTGTAGCAGCTTCATACGATACTTTTTTGCAGAATCGGGAAACTTAGAGCGGAATATTGTATCTGTATGGATTGGCATAGTGTATATTAGGAAGGGAGTTCTATAGCTGTCGTGTGGCTATAGCCATCATGTGGTCCTCAGCAAGACACAAACAAGAATTGGGGAAGGTGTTAGTACTCCGATCGAGCATCTACGGGTTCAGCAATTGACATGTTCTCTTGACCATGGTGTAGACCAACCCGAAGCATATTTTTCTTGGGTCTCATGGTCACAACAGTCGAGATATGCGTGTCTGTTGTAAAGTCATTCATGGGTAATTACGAAATGACCCTCTTGACATCTCATCAATGCCCACTGCTGCCTTGGAAACAGGACGGGGTTATTAATGTTGTCGACTTGGGTATGACAGTTATTACTGGGTGCTTTGATCCCAGCACACCTTTCATTTCGCAGGGTCTTTCGTCAGCCTAATTAGTCTTCTGATAGCACATCATAAGCGAAAATCACCAACGTGTTAAAGTCCCTGAGATTGCTAGCTATACGATGGTGGATATTAATCCACTGATAGTTTTCTCAAGTACATCTCTCGCTCAAGCTCGATTTCGGTCAGCCCTACCAGTAAGAAAGTTGTTCGAGATGTCCAAAAAAAGTGACATGTTCGCCTTCCCAGACACCTTCGCCTTGAGCATATGCTTCGCTGATGTTATACCCGTCAGTGCCGGAAAGCGGGCGGAGCTCACTTTCTCTTATCAGCTGGTGGATATTGAATCCCGCTTGACGAGTCGGTATATCCAGCTTAACCTGCTTGAAATAGTCCAATCCACTATATTCACTTTTCCAAACATCGAATGCCGTGGTGTTCTTGCCCACTTCCACAACTTCATGAACGCCATTGGGATGCCAGACAGTCGCCCAGGCTGGGACACCAAAGGGCTGCTCTATGGTAGGGCCTACGACCCATCCATGAATCATCAAACCATTCGAGAGATAGAGCCAGTATCCGTAATGGCCACCGGATATCCCGAATTCGCCCCACTGACGCTCAAAATATCCTCGGGACTGATCACAATCAATTGCAATTTCCTCGCCGTTGACGGTTAGCGTGCCATTCAGACGTAGGGTGGGGTTGCCCTGAAGTGACAAGACTGTCAGCAGTGAAAACATTTCTGTGTACCGTGGGACGACTACATACCCAGTACCAGGAGTACCCGGGTATGACCCTCCGGAAGTCATTGCCATCGCTCGACAGGGTAATCCCACCACCTCCACCAACGTACAGGTTTTTGCCGGTTGGGGTAATGTGTACATTGAGCGGCACCCCAGCATAGTTGGTGGAGATAGTCAAGTCCGTGTAATTGTCGGATCCACGAGGGCTGGTCAGATTCTGGATCTCCGACCGGAAGTCAAGAAACTCCGTGCTTCCAGTACCTGGAGCAAAAACCGTCGCGCCAGTGGATGAGAGATCCTGGAGGTCTTCTACCCTGAAGATGCCGGTGGTGCTGCCACGGAAAAAGTTTGGTGCTAACGTTACATGGTATTTGCGACCGTCCACCGTGGTCAACCAGAAGAGGAAGAAGTAGCTTTCCCCGTCAGGACGCCGATGCCCAATGCATGATTACGGGGGACAAGACATACCTGTTCAAGTTGTCAGGATTCTCCTCATCAAGCCAGACCATGGTTTTGCGGACGTCATAGCGACCGGCATGAGTCTTTCATTATAAAGTCAGCGTGGTAGGCTCCTGAAGATTTGGTACTACTCACTCCATCATTATCGATAGTGCTGGCCGGGAATTTCGGTGGCGCAAAGGAAGGCACTTCCAGTCCGCCGACAGCACTTAGAAAGGTCACAAGGGCGACGAGAAGGGATCGCATATTCCTTTTTCTTTCTTTTCCTCACGAGGCTGTTTGGAGGAAATCCATCCGGCTGAGTTTAGAGAGGCGAAGTCGCTTATATAGTCTCAACAGATGAGCTGAGCAAAATCGCTGGCACTTGCGATGAACATCCTGATTCAGACCATCCAAAGGATGCGCCGATCATTGATCGAATGGCGCGCTTTCGTATCCTCTACCAGGCGTGGTCTAGTGCGTATCCCTCTGGATTATACCTACGGGAGGCACCTCAACACAATAGGCGCCAAGCATGTCGTACTCGTTTCATTCTCCAAGTAGACCATGGCTTCAAGACAGACACGTCCTGCCGTGTCTTTAACGGCAGAGAGGAGTTATCTGGTGTGGGGCATAATCTGGCTGTGTCATCCAACCGCCGCAGGTTGTCAATTGTATAGGTCTCGCTATCCGACCCCCCTCCAATTTCGGTTGGGAACTCACACCTTCCGATGTCATCGAGGGCTGGAATAAATGCGAAAGTAGACGGGTTTTGGCTACTAAAGTCGAACTCTCAAGATTTGCTTATAAATGCTTCGTGAGCAGTGGTAAAATTTGATTCGAAGACTTTGCCGGTGGAGAGTAATGCTTTTCCCCAGCTTAGGAACGGTCTCCTGGCGACGTGGGCCGAACATGAGTGATTTGCATCCGCGTCGAGGCTAATACAACCCAGGGGTAGGTGTATTACTTCAGGCTAATTTATTTGGAGGGCAGCCTTTAGGGGTAATCACTGAGAGTTTATGTGATAGCCAGCTTGATTGTACATAGCCTGATAGTAGCATTTGGATATCATCTACCAGCGTGAGAAATTCATATTTTTTACGGAATAGACTCGTGCTAAGCAACTGGGTCCGCAGAACATTTGGAGGCCCACTCTCTGGAATTCAAGTTGATCAATTCGCTAGTGGCATCAAAGTTTTAAACTCACCGCTTTTCTTCAAACGTCTACAGTAATTTGTTTCTTATTCTACCAGAACTATTTCGCTTCCATCCAAAATAGTCCGGTTGAATTTTGCTATCCGACAATATAATTGCAGATAAAATCGTCCTCAGAGTAGTAAATGCCGTCCAGACGAGCGCACCAGAAATCACGCCATGGCTGCGAAAACTGCAAACGAAGGCGGGTGAAGGTATTACATGAAATTCCCTTGAAGCTACATCCATCTCGACGAAAGGTTCAAGTGGCCGATAAGCATACTGATCTTGGGTAGTGTGATGAAACGAGACCAGCATGCTCAAATTGTTCAAAAAGAAGCGAGCAATGCACGTACAAACCGGAGGCTTTGGTGATATGGACGAACAGCAACACTCGTCAAGAAAGTCCCATGGCAATTGACCGCGAAAACCTTCAACAAACCGGGTCACTCATAGTGGAACGCAGCAATCTGGCGATTCCTGCGAGATGTAAGGGTTTCAGTGCTGGCGCTCCCCTCCTGCCTCCTCTTAACCTCATTGACCTGGAGCTCTTGCTGCACTGGAAGGACAGAACCTACCAAACTTTTTGCCGAAGTCCACACGGAAAGACTGTCTGGCAGTCTCTCGTCCCACAGGAAGCACTTGTGGAACCATTTCTCATGCATGGCATATTGGCGCTCTCCGCCGTACACCTTGCGCGGACGAAGAATGAGTTTTTGAAGCCAGCGTATATCAGCAGAGCTGCATCCCACCAGAATCAGGCATTGGCTAAATTCCGCCCATTGCTTATGAACATCAATCCATCTAACTCCAAAGCGATGTTCGCATATGCCAGCCTCATTACTGTCTACTCCTTTGGTTCTTCCCAGGAACCTCATCCTACTGACTTCCGGACAACCATAGATAACCTTTGTCAGGTAATTGTATTTGCGCAGGGTGTTCATCAAATCTCCGTGAAGGCTGCAGATGCGCTGCAAGATAGTATGTTCCGGCCATTACTTCAGTGGGAAAGCTTGCAGCAAAATCTTACCGAAGAGACAAAGCTTACTTTTGAACGTCTGCACGAAGCGATCCGCAGCCTGACCTCAGATGACACCCGCCGCGACCATTTTGGGGCCATCATATGCATACAAGACGGCCTGGCTGAAATATTAGGGGGCTCCACGGCAGTAGCTACCGCGACCAGAGTCGCAATCAGGATGCCACCAGGATATGTGGGGTTACTGCGCAATTACGATCCCTTAGCATTGGTAATACTGGCATACTATTGCTCTGTTTTGCATCGTTTGAGGCATAACTGGTGCCTCGAAGCCTGGGGCGCTCAAGGTGCTCGCGCCGTATGGTCCATGTTAGATGGTCAATGGAGGAGCCTGATGCGTTGGGCGATGGAAGATATATTTGGGCCTCACTTCTCCACACAGTCGGAGACCTGTGAGAATCCTAATAAGTTCGGAGTCTGATTTGATGACAGTAGGCGGCCGACATAGCCGGCCATTTCCACTTGGCTTTGGGTAAGCTAAGGCTAATATCATGGCAGGGCACTACCACTAAACTATGGCACATCAATAATGATTATTGAGCACTTCCATAATTAGAAATAACCTAGTGGGACCAATCTGATGTGGCCCTCTGACCCACCAGGTGGCATCGTATTCGTATGGTTCACCATGTTGAGCCCTTTGGTCCGTTCCATCGGTTGTTAGATGTGGATCAATCTGCAGCCAGCTTTATGGTTATTAAAATATAGTGCCAGGCACTTTCTGACACGATCTTCTCAATATATACAGAGTAGTACATTTGGTTCAACTACGCTAGTAAAGTTTCGATATGATTAAGAAGTTATATGCAAGATCGAAATCAAATGAAGGTCTGATTCTTCCAACGAGCGACTAAGCCATATTTATATCCCGGAAATGAAGGTATTCGACCGAAAGGATAGATTCGAAAGGATTCTACATCAGTTAGATCAATTCGATGATCATGATTCCATAGATCTCTAGTGGTATCCTGATCGTCTTGGCCGAATCACTCACACTTAACGAGAGTATGGCTGAACTTCTCCATTCCGTAAGCAGTAATCTATTTCAGCAGTACATCTCTACCTCGTGCAGTATCCAGCAGAGAAGATGTTGATATTGTTGAACAGTGCACATGAAGAGTAATCCAAGACACTTTCACCCTAAAAATTACCCACTATTCCCGGGCGGAGGATGGCATTTCACACCACTCTAGTCTCTTTTTCCATGTTCTATCTAGGGAAAGGCGGTGAGGAGACTCGCAGGTTTCTGCATTGTTATAGTGATCAACGTCCGTGGAACAGATTTTGCATAAATAACAGCTTTGTAGACCCTAAGCTGCGGCCTCTAGACAATGGCCCCTGTCCACTACGCAGGAAATACAACAGTTTGATCTTGCTTGGCAAGGTGGCAGAGGCTTAGGCTGGAGCGGCCCCTGGGGCCAGTTTGCTAATCTACCAATCAGATTTACCGGCTTGCCAACACTTTCTAGTAATTTGCAAGTTATCCCGACTCTTCGTCCCTCTATCTGGTAGACCAGGTATGACGTCATCGTATCTTCGCCGTTTGGAATCTATATAAAGACTCTGTAAAGTCTTGTCCTGTTGGAAAGTAAGCCGTCATATGCCCTTGAACATCATTTCGTCGCTAGCATAAAGACCCTACGATGACACGCGCCTTGTTCTTCTGTATTGCTGAAGACGCTAAGCCTGTAAGTCTAGTGTGTTATGGATTATAGGGGCCACGATGATAGCCTGTTGGAGGTCGGACCGAAGAAATCGAGGCTGACCGCGAAATCACTAGTTTGTACCTAAGGCCTTACGCGAATTTAGTACAGAGCCACGAGACTTTCCTTATTGGTACTATCTTGTTGAATCGAGAGTCTGCCCAGATTCACAGGAGCAATTCAGATCGGGTCTACAAGATGGGGAATTTTTCGAGTCAGACTTCATCAACGCCTCTAAAGAGGAATGCCAGAACTGGGCCATAGACAAGTGGCGCCAACCCGCCAAATACAATTTCATCGAACAGGAAATTATCACCATCGCAGATGCAAGAAGTGCTGAGGACGGGACTCTTCTCATGAGCTATTATTATGAATGTCCACCGGGCGTGTTTCCTGTCGAATTTGACGAACATGGGCCCCTCCCACCAAAGAACAAGACCTGGTACGATTTCAGAGTCCATCATACTGATTCGGAACAATTCCAAGGTACTCTCCTGAATGCCGAACCTGACGTTTCCTATCCATTGTTCTTCGGCTACCCAGAGAAATTCACGAATGAGGCTGGCGTCTTCGAAATGAGGAAAGTGGAGAAGTTTTTGTCGGATGGGGAGGTCTAACATTTTTCGAGCCTCTAATTTGATTTATCTATCGCCAGAGAGGAGAATCATCTGTATCTTTCTGTGTATACCCTCTAAGAAGCTCAATATAACTTGGCTCCTAAATCACTTCTATCCTACTCCCTTACCCTCTCCCCTTCATTATCCTCTCTTAAGATCATGCAAGTAAAGTAACCGTAAATGCACTTATCATTTTTTGGCTCCCTTGCCATAATTTGCATAGCATATAACATGACACGTTGCCTACAATTACGATACGAAGCAAAGCTAAATGATAATATTACTATAAGTTTGCAGATTTACACACACTAAACAGTGCATCTCAACCTTGAGAAGAAGCTTCTGCCTGCTGTTCCTCGAGGCCTATAATTAGTGATCCGTGGCTAGATAACTTAGTGAATAGCTGCAGAATATGGAAAGCATCATCCATCGGAGCGGTCTATGTTGTCTGCTCCTGTAAATGGAAGAATTGGATCCTGTTGTCTTACCTTTACCTTCCCTTTGCAGTACATGGCAGATGCGGTCGGTAGGATGTTCTTCCTGCGCAATGGAATTAATGTTAAGAATTCGCGGATATCTAAAATCATACATGTCGCTTCTTTATGTCGGACACTCATTCCTCATTTTCCGTGACCTCAGTAGCTATGAAGCGACTATTGGGGTAACGCAAAGCTCTAGGGAAAGCTTTAGGGTTTGTCACATACCATGCTATACCAGAGCTCGGTCTTACTTGACAAGTATCATGAAGCGCGACCCCCATAGCCTGAAATATATTTTGAGTACTATGTTTCATTGCTATATTTACTGCGGATCCATATGATACCTCGGTGCAATGGTTGAGATAGCAAACGGCCTTCACAGCAGCAATTTGCATCCAAATAGCCATTCCATCTCCAAAGCCTTAAAGATGGTCATTCAAGAATAAGTGGCTCCGCGGCATTGGAGATCTAAATCTATGCCCAAGGTCGTTGAGAACTCTCTGATTTATCATAGTCATTCATTGGTAGCGAACGCCTATTTATGTAATTCGATTCACTCGGGACAACTGCTAAAAGCCTTGATCAGGGATCCACGAAATCGATGGACAGTTTGTATTTCAAAATACGTAGTATATAGATTGCGGTGTACAGTTAAGGCACAAAGAAGAAGACGATAGCTTGAAGTCGACCACAGTCGGACGCGGGTGGTAACGAGTCTGACTAAAACCGCGAGAATCATTATTCACACGTGTATTGTTTGCTTCTCTGGATTCGAAACTCGACTCATAGCTTTCTAGCAATGAGTTCCACGGTTTGATAAGCAGACACTGGTACACTTGTTGAGGACCTGGATGTTCGAAGTCTTGCCTGAAATTCCATTCTGGGTGCACTGATTCAAGACTGTCTTTGTTACTACTGTCTGAGCTTGGGTCATGAAACAGGACGTTGACTTACTCGCACTGGCATAGGGAGCCAGGTCCTGTTTCCGGAGGCCAGTGATTTTATCGTGCCATGAGACGCAGCAGAACGAGTTTTTGTCGGAGTCGCCTTGGTAGCATATCTGGCGAGGTGATCCGCTGATCGTAACATCGGAGTCATCATAAAGCTCAGCCACAAGAGCCACACAGTTGCCGTTACGTGCTGCATTGTGACTATCACACTTCGGCGGTGTCATTGCGTTTCCGCAGCTGCGTTGCTCGAGATCAACTGTCTCGGATCGTTCCTGAACGTCGCTTCGGGGACCGAAGTAAATGAGAGAGCCGCCGCCTCTACCGGTCTCGCGGTAGTGCTCAACCCAGCCATTAGGCGCATTTTGCTCCTAGATGGGAGAAGCCAGATTGCATAAAGGCAAGGCTAGCGCGAACAAAAGAGTCTTGGCGCTGAAATACATTGTAGACAGAGACGTCGACGACGTTGCAGCGGGAGATTGAATTTGGAGATTGAATTTGGAGATTGAATTTGGAGATTGAATTTGGAGATTGAATTTGGAGATTGAAGTTAGGGATTGAAGTCGAGGATTGAACTGAGATGTCTGAGAAGGAAGCAAAGCCCTCGATCTCTCATACCTTTATATGAACCCTCTGGATGATGTTGAGACTTCGAGCGTACGCTTCCCACTCCCCATTGCCGAAGTTTACTACTTGGACCGCGTCTCGAGGTTCATTTCCATTTGGCAACATAAATTGGGGGCTGTTCCTTCACACGAGAAAAACCAAGGCAAGACCCATATGCTTCGCCCTGTAGTTGGCCCCAGTCAAGGTTTGTGTCTTGTGTCCTGGGGCGACGTGACGGAATATTTCTTAGCTACCATGACTCTCGAGTTGTAACAGAGTCCCACTTGGAGTGGTGAATGTTGGCCATGATCAAGCCCAATACCTAGATGAGTCTTGCGATTGATCGAGCCGCTAACTGCTTATAGGCCGCTCACGAATTGAATCTGGCACACAAACCGCCCGGCCCCCCGGGTCCGCCCCGAGATTTGATGCTTGCTTCAATGCCAACAACAAGACACTCGATGGAACCTCCGGCGAGTCATTTTAGCCCCTCTCATCAACTTCGGAATGTGCACTGTATGCCAAATAGAGCTTCGTATGCCAGGCGACGTCCTGTAAATTAGAGACAGCTTTGCACGCAAAAGTTGCCATACACCAAAATCAAACTCTTCAGTTCGAAATGCCCATATTCGTCAGATAGTCTCTTTTGCGATGGACAAAAGTTTGCACACCAAATGGGATTGTAGCTCGTCTTGATGACTTGGGTACTTTTCCATCAGGAGTGAATTGCGCATAGAAATTCATCGCCCGCTTCCACCCACGGGCTTTAACTCAACACCAGCTGCTCGCTTCAACTGCTCCAGTTTTTGGTCTACCTCCGCATTCCTGGATCCAACATGGATAGAGAACGGTGGCAGTAAGCCTCACAGATAGTGCCCCAAGGATATTTGACCGTCTTGAACGAGGCTCATCGCCCCAGGGATTCCGCCCCGGCCCCGAAGAGTTCGTCCTCGTTTTGAGGGTCTGTGATAGTAGTAGCCTGCAGGGTAGATGAAACCACTAATTACATATCTCATTGGCTTCACTTGTCTTTGTAATCACTCATGTGGCCCCAGTTGGTCAAGTACACACTTCCAGTCAGCGATACTCCGCCACCATATCTTTACCAGGTAGATCTACGACGGCCCCTCGGCGAGACATTAACCTACATCGTTGAGTGCTGATGGCACATGTCTGAACCCGGAAAATTTAGGAAAATGAGTATATAAGAGGAGCTCGGGAGGACTGGAAGCTGTAGTATCTGAGATCAACATCGAACATACAGACTTCTTTCTATTCAACTGCTACAAAGGCATACAACGATTCGATATGCTGTTCAAATATCTTGTTCATCAGCTTTCTTTGCTCTTTCTCTGCTTGTTTCCAGTCTTTGCGGCTCCGGTCATTGAGCCTACAGACGAAACAGGGCTGGTTGCACGCACTGGCAATACTGCCCCTGGTGGATCGAAAGGCAATCCCAAAGCTGCAACATTTGACATCACAGGATGGGAAGACATCGCGGAAGAGGACTGCTATGTAATGCTTTGTTTAAAAGATGGAGAAAGAACTTGGTGAGCAACATACTCATTGCCTGGCTACAGGTCCATTCACTAATAGACCAACCGATAGGCAGAGAAACCCTACAACTGGTTTGAGGGAAACCCATTACGCGAGTTCCGGGGCAAGAGCGAAGCCTTTTAGAAAGGACAACGTCCCCAAGCGTCATACTGGGCAGATCAATTCCCAGCCTGGGTCGTCAGAGACCAATAGTGCGGAAGAGTTTCCCTGGGAGAGCACGGTCCAAGGGGGCTCCAACGCCCTGTTGCTTCCAGCCACTAGGGCACAACAACAGAGTACGTTCTATGATGGCTTGGCAGATAACTTCACTAACACATCAATACAATAGGGCAAGCAGGCGCTATTACCGCAGGCTTTCGCCGAAGTGATATTACTTTGGGAGAATGGTTCAGAATCACCTTCTCAGGCAATCTCGGCGAAATTTGCCGGGCGCTACACCAAGAGCCTCCTGACGACAGTATTTGCAAGAAACCTACTGTGACGGTATTTGGCAAGAAAGTAAACCTCAATGACTGGGTTTGGACGATGGCCAAGGTGGGAGGTAGCCTTGCATATTACCATGCAGCTGGTAGCTCTAAGGGCAAGATTGGAAAGCGTATGGACTCAATCGAGATGCGTTTCCTTCATTCTAAGGAGGGCAACCTCAACGAGGGCCGCGCTGAAACTTTGATCATGCTACACATCTCGTTGGTGTATATGTATAGCTTCTCGTCACCTTATAGCAACATATGAAACCGGTACTAGCTTTGACAACCACGTTCCTGTGATGTAAAACTTGAATATGTCAAAGAATTCCCTTGTTTTTTCCGGTCCCTCTAGTTCTCAGGGAAATTGACCGTTGAGTTTGCCTATATTCGTTAATTTTGGTCGCCTTAGGGGCGCGGAACAGTGCGCTGATCTGAAAGGTGAGAATTTCGTGACCTCAGCTACACTGAATCTGGATTCACAAATAACTAGACATGTGACAAGGCTCTACTGCTTCTATAAAGTACCAGGCATAAGCAGAACCGTTTTAGGCCTGGTAGGGAATCGGCGGTGGCTACCCACGTTTCGGCACCCGTTCTCTGACGAAAGCCTGAACAAAATCCCTTATGCACTAACCTATCTCTCTATGTGATCTATCCTATTCTGCTATTTACCCCTTTCCTTGGCTAAGGGAGAAAGACCGTATATAAGACTGATCGCAGAGGAGGAAGATAGAACTTCTAAAGAAACAGTCTCTGATTCTAGATTAGAATTCTAGCCCTACCCTTACCTACTCTTACCCTCTTCTTACCTATATTACCTATAATTACCCTAAGATCAGACCTAACGCTATTTTAGAGCTTAGGGTACATTAAGAATCAACCATATACTATAATAAGGTTGAGTATGCTGTATAGGCTGTATAGCTAAGCGAACAGGAAGCCCCGTTCTCTACACCCTATAGTCGTACGTGCAATTCCGGGTAAAAGCACATTGTATTATACAACGTTTAACATTTATCGTTGACAAAATAAGTTGAGGAAAATTCTTGACTAATCAATACCACGACCTATACATCCATATATCTTTGCAAGGACTACGTTCGTGAAGGCTTGTTCAAGCGGGTAAATTTTGTATTGTGCCAATTCCTACTCAGTAGACGATTAAAACGACGACATATATGCAATGGATTGACCGCAGCGTAATTTCTTTCTAGATTATATTCTTGGAATCTTTATCTTGAACTTAGCTAATTTTATGGCATCTATGCCTAAGCCTCATAAGCATTAATATTGAACTCATACTATCCTTTATAGGGAATCTCAAGTTAGATTGTAACACATGCGCTGTCTATGAGACCAATCGGGACTCAAAAGCCATTTGACATTGTTGCTTTTGGTTCGTGAAACGAGTTTAAATGAACCAGAGCTGCATGCACTGGGCAGACTATACCGAATTATTAGCAAGCCGTGGCTGGCAAAGTGCATCATTAGGAGAGCGCAGAACGAGGCATGGAATGGACCCGGCGAGCTGTATACCCGCATGAAATACCTGAACTCGGTATGTGCGTCACGCTGTCCCGCGAGCACCAAGAAAGCTTGGTCCTCTTAGTCTCACCTCCTTGGTCACGCTAGCTTCCGGAACTGATTTAGAGGTACAATCCAACGGGATCGCCCATCGCCGCAGAGAGGGATCTGACTTCAGACAATTATCGCGCCCCAAACAATATCATCCGGCTGGCTACTGAATCTTCTTCGATATGAAAGATTCCCTTGTTCAGCCCAGGGAGCGCATATGTCCACACTACCACCCATGGTAAGCATTTGGAAATATCCACGAGGTCAAAACAAGAAGTCAGTCGATCAAGTAGAAACCATTCATCAGATGCAAGTCGATCATGCATAGCGCAAGGCAGCTTCAAGTTTCAGGGTCATGTTCTTGTCGTGACAAAAATCTATAGATATCACAGTGGTCAGCATTAGTTCGGGACAGCTTGAATGATGCATGGGAGATTTGCTTATCGACCTGTGCTAAAGTCTCGACGCCGAATTTCGGGAAGAGGGAGCCAGAAATAGCTTCCTCTTGCTCCACCACTTTCTTTCAAATTCCGAGGCCCGCCATTCCAGCTATGGCTATTCAAGTCCTCTTTACCCCGTGTCGTTATCCGTCCTTTTCACCCCGCCATAAAGGGCAGAATCCTGTCTCCAACTTTTTTGTATGTCTATAAGCTGCTACATCACATTTCCTAATGTCTGCACTGATAACCGCGTCCTCTATAGTGTCCCACTCCCACTCGGCTAGATCTATTAAAATCATAGATCCGCAGCCAAGCTTTATGGTTATTAAAAGATAGTGCCATATTTATATCCCGAAAATGAAGGTATTCAGATAGTCAGGACGGGACCATAGAGTCAAAGAGTCTTAAACTACTGAGCATTAGCTTGTGGATGATTAGTTTGCAGAACTTCAAGAGGCGTACCAGGACTGCCCACAGACTGGTAAGACAGTGAATCAATCCTGCGTGGCAGGACTGGGTGATTGAAGAAGTTGACTTACTTTATCAGGAGTCCACAAGGGACGGGAATCCTGACTATAATGAAACGTATCACTGTCTTACCCGTCTACAGGTAGTCCTAGTACACCTCTGGAAGTTCTGTAAACCAACCATTCACAAGCTAATGCTCAGCAATTCAAGACTCTTTGACTCTATGGTCCTGTCCCGACTATCGCACGAAAGTCAGACAAGCAGCATAACCAAGTCGTTACCGTTGGTCAGAAAGAGGTAGTAATTTCTGGGGACTGTCAGGTGTACATCAACACCATCGCCATCCATACCGATCCGGACGGCTGGGGTCCCCACTCGCAGACTTGGAGACCAGACCGGTGGATATCGGGAGCTTCCAGCACACTGTCAGAGTGTGAATTTTCGCCCGAGATGTCAAAGCGCATCTCGGCCTGGGGAGATGGTCGGCGGATGTGTCCAGGGCGGAAGTTTTCGCAAGTCGAGATTCTGGCAAGCCTGCTCCGTCTTTTCATGTGCCATCGCGTAGAGATTGTGCCTCGTGCTGGTCAGAGTCTCCCGGACGCACGGTCCAAGGCTTATTCCCTGATACAGAACACCACGGTCGGACTTACCTTGCAAATGCCAGGGCATCGACCCGTTAATATAACATGGATACGACGGTAAAGGCATGGCGATGTTTGCCGCATGAGAGTAGTTGCTATTTCTGATGGATACCATTCTCTTGCGTTAATATCGGATATGGCAGGTGCTCTTGTCAATATGTAGGTAATGAAGGCCCGCTGTTTCTTATAGTTATTTCTTTGGATGAGAGATTAACCTCCATATAATTCTGCACTAATAGAGTCAGGTAGGGCCTTTGGGCAGAGCTGTCTTTAAAGTCTTCTTGTCTAGGCTCTAGCTTTTGAAAGACATTCGATGCTCGGTCTGTCCTTAGTGTCGTTCCTGTTGTACAATCTTTATCAACTCCCAACTACCCCTCTTCGCAGACACAATGGCCCTGATATCTACATTCGCATCACCAAGGTTCTTCAGACAGTCCTCCAATGCCCCGGTCAGACTCCAAGCCCTGACAAGTCTGCTTTTCGCTCGCGCAGAGCTCTCATGCTGCTTCTACAGCGTCATTTCCTGATCCCGCCGTGTGAGATTTGACACCCAGTAGTGTGGAACGCGGTATTAATAACAGAGCCCCCGGGTGCTCATTGGTTTTCTTGATTCTTTTTTTCTCCAACCACATCAGAATCCCAGGGACTCCAGCTGCCACACAAGCAAGACCGACGAATAGCCCGGTAGTCCAACTTGGCCGGTTAAATCGATTCATCGACCACATACAGGCAGCAAGGCAGATCTGGAAAACCGTATTCAGGACATTTCCCCAGATTACCACATGTAGTTTGTACCTCGGCGTAGGCGTAGCACCTCGTCCTTCTGAGGGGCTATCCAGAGTAGTAGTAAGTAGAGAACTCCCATTTGGCTCGAGACGCTGGTAGAACCAATTCGCGTGGATCTCTGCAAGACGGTCGAACCACTTCCGCCGGGTTCCTGCCCCCCGACCTAGTCGCCAACGGCACCACAGGTAGAGATCCCGAATCCTCCAGGGCGCAAGTCCAAATCCCGTGACGCAGAAAAGCGCATTGAGGATCTGCGAGTTGATCTCGATCCAGATCCGGCGCGAGGAGTACAGATCGTTGCAGCTGGGGTGGCACATTGCCGGAGCGGCGTTGCACAGTAGTAGGAATAACATCCCACCCCATGCAATTACATTGAGGCCGTAGACCGTAATTGCGAACCCCATGGGCGTCAGGACCCAGCGGCCGAAGGAACCAGCGGTGGCTGTCCATGAGGATGCCTCTGCCTATCAGCGGGTTAGTAAGTTGGGGAAAATCGTAAGAGGAAATACCGGGCGGAAGGAGACTGACTGGGTCCTCTTTCTCTGGGGAATGCTCGATGGGGGCAGTGTTCTTAGTTTGAGAAGTCATTAGGGTTATCATTATGTTTTTAATCCTTGGAGCAAAGGTGAAAAAGAAGTACGGAGGATTCTTCAAGAATATCATAGATTAAAGAGTTCTCGTTCTCGTCCTCGTCCCCATAGCCACAGCGGCATTTCCTCGATTTTGCAATGGATACGAGTACGAATGACGATCAAAAGTTACTCCAATCCATCCTAGCCGCCTGTCAAAGGTTTTTTTTTTTTTTTTTTTCTTTTTTTCCCTTTTCAGCAAATATCATCTTTTGCCCCCAAGCCTAAAATCGATTATTCGTTCGTTCAGTCTATCAGTGCGTCCTACCCACCTCTCCGGACGGAAAGTACTGGCACCCCGGCCGTATACGTCCTCATCTCGTCCTCCGACGGCGGCGGTCATACAGATTGTTCATCCGCGCGGGATGTACAATCCTGATAGCTCAATCCTAGTCTGATCCATGACTCGAGGCATAGCGAACCCCACACCAGCATGCAACCGCAATGCCTCTGTGATTGTTGCCTTGAAAAGTGTGAGCTGAACGGCCGGAAAATCGGATAATTTCCCTCTCTCCATGGCTTGGTCAACCACCTTCCGAAGCTCTTGATATATATTAAAAGAATTTTTGCAACGTAATAGAAGTAAGATTGCTTTCAGCTCAATTATTGTAGTTGCGTCTGCGCCTGCTGCCCTGCCGAAAGGGGTGTAGCAGCAAATTTTAGTAATATGCGTGATTTATGTAGTGATCACTTGTTGGAAGCCGTCGGCCTGCCGAAGAACAATGTTTAGATGATGCCGCAGCTGAGACGGGGATGGTTGTTTTGAATATATATTAGTAAATTATTTATTAATATTATAGATAGTAACCGTCCGCCTATCAGGTATACTTCATTATACCTAGCGGATTCCCTTCACATATTGTCTTGAAACTCCACACCTCTAACAAACACCTCCGACAAAGCCTCTAACCCTGCAACAAAAACACATAATGCAGAAGCAATAATAAACATGCTAATACTCTCTCCAATCTCTAGCCAGCTCCCCTCATCTCTTACTGCCCAGAAGAAGCGCAGAGTCATATAGTCACTGATGCCCATAACAACTGTGAACAGACTCCCACCTTGAAGCTTCAGTCTCTTGGTCAGAAATCCAAGGTTGGCAGAAACCAGGGCGAAAGGAGCCAGAATCTTGAAGATAAGAAGAGCCGCCTGGCTGAAGGGATCAAAGATAGGAAGTAGCCGGTAGACAGCGTCCAGCGAGAATGAGGAGACCGAGGCGATGTTCCCAGTGCTGAAGAAGGCGGAGTGCAGCAGGAAGAGGAAGAACAGACAGACTCTTACATCTGAAAGGATAAGACTTCTGTAGTTCCCCTCTACAGCAGCCTTTTCTCTTTGCTTCGCTGCCTCGGCGGCTGTTGCAAGCGGTGTTGAAATATCCTCTTCCAGGGCCTTTTTGGTGTTGAAGGCGTAATCATTAGCTGCAGCGTTCCTGGCATTGCCGGGTGGACGAGAATCGTCGCTGGACATGATGTGGCGGGTACTGCCGCTCTTAGAGCGTTGATGTATTCTATGTTCGAGTTGGACCCAGCTGAAGAGGGTGATAGCAATGGCGAAGTAAAAGAGTCCTTCGTAGGAAATTGTGAGGATGATGAAGAGCGGCCCGAGTGCGAGGAAAATGATCATATGGCGGTGGAGGTAATGTTTTCGTGGACGCAAGACATGGGCAAAGGGCAGGACGAGGGATGCAACTGTTTACATGGTTGTTAGCGTGGCAACAGACTCCAAGGACATATGCAAGCAAGCTAAACGTGAACAAATCCTCTGCGATTAAGAGGCAATGTCGAACCAGAGACTGAGCATAATCCATAAGGTTCTCGTCAATTGAAGTAGCGTGCCTGTGGTGGGAGATCCTGTTTTCCTGATTGCTGTTATAGCACGAAGTCATTGATCTGCTGAGGACCAATGTCCTTGGTAGCATAGCAAACGGCGGCGTATAGATAATCTTGGTCCAGATCCAGGTAGCTGTCCTTTTAATCTAAGCTGATATTCTCTGGGCTCTTTGCACCCTTCTCACATTGAGACTGTCGTGCCGCCAAGCTGAGCAGCAGCAATCTCGTCTTGCAGGTAAACAATGAGTTTGTGATGGGGCAAGGCGTATGTACAATCGTACCAATATACTTCGTCTCGTGCTTCCAGCCACCACTTGCGCGCCTTGAAGAGTAGTCTGAGCAGCACTCGGAAGCATATCTCAAAGCCGATGCCGTGGACAATGCTAGTGAGAGACAGAAGATCAAGAATACACCCAGCCAAATCCTCGTACAAAGGCTTTGTGTCCTGAACGATCATCAGGGGTGCTCCATGACCTGGGCGTTGCTGGCAAATATGCTCATAGCCCGAAGTTGATGTCGATTCGCGCATACAATAATGTGAATTGATGTCGCGTATCGCATAAGGCATCCAGTTGGCGCTTCCAATGTCTCGCAACAACTGCAAGGAAATGAAACCAAAACAGTACTTACCCAGCGTAGCCCACCCAGCAATCTGTGTTCCCAGCGGAAGTCCCTGCTTCATCTGTAAAGAAGCCACACTTGACCTCGTGACAAGCATTGCAAGAGCAACCAGTCCGACCTGCAAACCAAGAATCGCTCTTGACACACCATCGGCATCTGCTGTGCTCAGCCCATCTTTTGACGGCACAGTCTGTACCAATAGCCTATTTTCAAATGTTATATACAAAAAACCGACTAGAAGGATTAGGATGCCACCGACAGAACTGAGATAGAGTTAGCTATAGGATAATATATTGTATGGGCTTTACGTACATGAGGGTTATATCCTCTAATTTGTTAGCTGGTATAAGAGTGAACACACTCATAGCAGCACAGGAAAGTGCCCATGTAGTGCAGAGGAAAAAGTTGGTCTTAACGAAGTCTGTACCATAGAGCAGTGGCCAAGCGATAGCGGTCAGGTAAACAATCGTATAGACCTGTCGATTGTAGTAGCTTTGAACCTGTGAAACTCGTAAGCAGGCATTGATTGTTGAAGCTCGGGTACTCACCATGACTTCCAGCAATGCCAGATATGCAGCAATGTTCAATGGGAACTTAACTATATCACTCTTCGAAAACTGCGAAAACAACTTTTTCTTGCCTTCGGCCAACGCCCTCAACCGCGCAAAAACCTCTTCCCAAAACAAAACTGGAAAGAAGGCGTACGCGTAGTATGTGATCGGTGATACCTGGAAAATAAGCAGACTGTAAAGCCCGACCAGGATTGAGGCAAAAGCTATAATGAGTCCGGGTGGCCTCTGCACATCGATCTGGCCATCGAGCACGTAGACATCCACGGCTGCCGTGAAAGCGAATGCGATCCAGCCAAGATAGCCTGCTGTGACCAGTGTTCGCAGAAATAGCCACGCATAGGTCTGCAGGTACCTTAGGCCCTGCAAGGCAAACTTAATCAGCTCGTCAGATTGCTTCATTGCGGTCGTGTAATCTTGTGCCTGGATGAGTTCCTCAATGGATGCTAGACGATCCTCGACGGTGGTCTCAGTAAAGCCAGAGTAAGGCTTGTAATGTAGGACTTCGGCCATCTTCTTGCGCTCCTTAACATGATACATCTCCAGAATCTCTTTCGCATTAACAAGCAGAGCCTTTGCTTTCTGCTCATCAGTGGCGTCCAGAAACGATAGCGGGAGCTCTCCAACCGAGTTGACTGGAAATTCCAGTCCAGCAAGGTACGCCATAAGAGCCGCGATATCCGCCTGAGCAACATCATGGCGGTAAACATGCTCCAGCTGCCAGTCACTCGAGAAGCCATCTTCATGACCCGGGGCCTTGCCACTCTTCACCGTCCTCGGCTTCGCAACTCCAGACCCCCAAGCAATCAATGGCGTCCTCGTATTATCCGGGTGTCCATCTCCATGACTCCCCCAGTCACTAATCCCATGGTCTGCGGTGAAAATAAAGGCCGTCTTATCATCCCCATAAAACTGATTAACAATCTCCGTAATCTCCTGTACACCCTGATCCACAATCTGGATATTCCTCAAATACTCCTGCGAATACGGCCGATGCGCATGTCCTGTCGTATCCAGGCCCAGCAAATGCAAAAAAAACACAATCCTATCTTGCCTTAGCCTCGCATTCAATTTTTCGTCCGTGTCAGCGTCCTCGAACAGCTTCTTAACGCGATCAAAAACCCAGTGATCCAGCTCCGTAGCATCTTTACTGTAATCCTCAAATTCAGCCTCGTACATCTGATCTTCGACTCGGCCTGGTACAGCACCGGCGGAGAACATGGGCAAGATATCCGGGCTCCCCCAGCTCCAGGTATGTCGGCTTCTGTTGAAGACGCTGTCGAAGGTGACCGGGTTGAGTTTCCATCCTGTTGTTACTGCTGCCACGTCTTCGTACAACCCCGCGATGAGGGCGACATGACCAGGGCGGGATTCGGTGGGGACGCGGGTGTGGGAGACGCCGAAAGTGCCGTGTTTGAGGACTCGAGAGCGGAGGAAAGGCGCCATGGGGACGACACCCTGCGCTGAAGAATCGTTTGTCGGCCTTGAAGGGTCGGGAAAGAATTGGAAAGCTTTGTCAGCTCGGAGTCCATCACCTGCAAAAGCTTAGGTCAGTATGCAATAGTCATGCGATGATGAGAGAGCGATGAACGTACCGACATACAAAACCAATCGCCTGGCGGGAGGTTCAGGGGTATCGACTTTGTATGCGCGCATTCCGTGCACAATCGGCGACACAAAGTAGATGTCGAAGATGGAGTAGATATAAACCACGTGGAACACGATCGCAATTCCAAGGAACCCGATGCGTCCAAGTCGCGCCATGGCGAGAGAAGATAGCGCTTTAACTTCTGCAAGACAGCGAAAGCAGAGGAAGAGAAGGCGTCCAGGGTTGACAGGGATGGATGGCCGGAGTTGGATGGATGAAATGCCCTTGGACACTACTGCCTTGTATGGATTAAGTAGGGACGATTGTATTACCCCGACGGCGGAGGGTGGGAAAGAGAAGATCGGGGAGTTGTATATTTGAACGAAGCAGGAACTCCGGTCGGCTGACAAGGGTCCGGAGGAGAGCTAGACAGTTGCCTAGAGCAAACCAGAACTATACTATGATAGGTTGATATCCTGGCTTTTGACCCAATAGAGAGTATTGCATCACATCATCTAGCTCAGAAAAAGCCGCTCTGCTGATGTCTTACAGGAGGGGAAAGCTATTATCTCGCGGTGCATCTCAATGGCCCATTTTGTAGAATCTCAGCTGCGTCAACTCTGAATTCCCCATATAGATTTAAACACCATGCCTAGACAGCCCCAGCCACAGACCTAGCTGGATCTCTAAGCTGCTGCAGCCGGCGCATCAAAGTATCTGTACTATGTCACAGGTGACGAGGTCTGGTATTGTCGTGAGGGCAGTAGGTCACATTACTATTCTTCGTATAAACTGAGGGATCACCTAAGCTATCACAGCAACTGAATGGGTGAAGCCACGATTGATTCAAGATTTCAAGTACATCGAGTACCATACTGCAAACGGTATCCTCCCATTCCCCCTCCTTGAACCCCCCAACGCCGGACAATGCTTGAATATGGTATCTAATTTTTGGAAGGTCAGAGATGATGACAGCAATGATCTGTGGGAGGTCCCGGTAGAACGCATTCGCCTAAGAGCTTGATGTTGGTAGACACATCAATCTATGCCTTCCCAGTCTTGCCTAAAGCGTTGAATCCACTTCCATAATCTGGGAGAAGCGACAAACATATCTCCGCGAAGTCTCGGTGGATTATCGACGGCATACTGTGTTTTCCATTCGGACACGAGTGTCAGCTTCTTAGCTATTGTGTTTCGAAGATCCTTGTTCTGAAAATAATCCTTTTCATCCTTTTCGATTTTCGAAAGTGGCTGATCCTCCTTTCGTACTTCATTGTATAGCTGGATGTAGTGAGGCGAACGCCGCTGTTGTAAAAAGTATCGCCCCAGGTCCGTTTCCGGACCATGTGCAAACTGCCATACGGTAGCAAAGAGGTTGTAATCAGCAATAGAATCAAGGTTGAGGAGTCGACTCAATTCCCAGGAGACTTGACTCCGCTCAAGAGCTTCCCGATATCTGTTGACCAGCCTCTGTTCGATCGTTTCGGGTATAGCAGTGATAAAACCGTCTATGAAGGGTCTGTGCAGCTCTGGACTACTTTTGTCGCCGTATTGTGGTAATCCTGGAACAGCTAACAGCATAGTTTCAGGAATGGATGAAGCAAATGCCCAGTCAATGATACACGTAACGTTGTAATCCTCATCAACGTATATATTATTGACGCTCAGATCAGCGTGGCACAGCGGAAAAGTCTCCGGATTGACGGCTGGCAGTTCAAGTCTCCGTACAGTGTCACGGAGAGCATCGCCTGCTATAATGTAATCCACCCTGTTCTCCGATGAGTCGGTCTTGCCTCCTACAGTCATAAAGTCGTTCCATAGGTTCACAGCGTCCTTATATTCCGTGCTGGAGTCATACTCTTCCCGGGAGGGAACAGGTGCCACAAAGCAATGATGTGATAACTGCAGAGTCTCTGCATGCTCTAAGAATGCAGAAATAAGGCTGCCATAAAACTCCGCCTCAGAATTGAATGGCCCGCGTGGGATCTCCAATGCATATCGTTCATGTAACATGTGACCGCGGGAAAGACATTCCTTGATTTCGAAGGACCCATCTTCCTCAAAGAGAGAGCCGATTTCATTGAACCGCAACTGTGAAAGCTTCCAGGTGATAGCGCCCAACTGCGACAGAACTCTGGCCTTGCTGAGGGGGTCTAGGTCAGGTTGAGGAGAACCAGCTGGTCTCCAAACTTTTGACAGTGGCCAACCAGGAGCTTCACTCATAAGGATGCACGGAATCCCAATGTCATTATCGGACGAAGCACTACAGTAGGTTAGGATGAGAACAGTGTGGTCTGGTAGAGGATGTTACCTATAGTCGTATACTTCTGGAACTGGAATATCGCTGTGAGCCTTGAGGAATCGGAGCGTAGCAGCTTCACTTGCCAGTAGCTTCATGCCCATTTCCATTGGCATGAAGTCTCTGGGATGTGGGGATCTAAAGACCCATTGGACACCGTCTTCAAATAGTATAAAAATAGCCCAGTTGAAACTTCCAGAAGCAGGACGTTGATCCGGATTACAAGCACAAGAAACACCCTGCCGTAGCGTGCTCGCTTGACGGCATAGAGCTTGAAGGTCAAAGTTGGCGTATGTGAATATGTTGGGTCTCGGAATCGGGGGCATCTCGCTCGGAGGAGATTTAGTGAGTGAAGAACATGGGGTCAAAAAGGATAAAGGTTGTTGGACTTCTACTTCTAGGGGTAGGTGTCGATCCTGGTTTAGCCCATGGGGAACATCTATTGAATTATATGACCGCTTGCCCGATTTGGAAGTGATTTGATTCCACCGAGCCGTCCCTTGGCGATAATATTCGGCGGTATTCGCCCAATATTCGGCATATATTCGTTCATTAATAAGCCGAACCCCTGCCTCTAGTGGAAGGCATAAATAGTAGCTAGATAGTCATTCGTTTAGAAGAATCAGACCTTCATTGGTTTTCAATTGGCCATATAAATTACTAGTAGTTGGCGAATTGAACTAGTACTATTGATTTCAACAACATCCTTCCAGGACAAAATATTCCCTAAAATGGTTAGCGTATCACGGGATCTCACTCTCCCATTTTGTTAAGGGATCTTTCCGGAGGTTATGACCATTTTAAATTCTTTGAAATAGTCGATGCTTTACTCCAGGTAGTACTTACCTGAATTTGTTATCTATGGAAGCCGGAGTACCAAGTAAGGAAGAGCTTTTGGCTCTTCTAGAATATGAAAGGCAATGAAATAGACAACTTTTGCATAGTACCTTCAGGCCTGCCGTCACTTTATCACAAGAGCCTGACTATCTAGACTGACGGATTTCTGACAACTAGGGTTCAATCACTAGCCTAAATGGCTACTGCTCTTTGAACCAGGGAAGCTTAGGGCTAATCTCCGGACTAAAAATAATTTCCAACGGGGTGACTACATATTCAAGAAGTGGCAACAAAAGAGACCAATCTGTCATCCTGGCAGACACCAATTCTTCTTGGTTCTCTTTCACCGACGAGGATGTCATGTACAAGACCTTGGATAATCAAAGACTTATCGGGCTGTCTCTTTGTCTGATCTGGTATCATAGGTTCTTCTACTTCAATGGTCACGACTCACGGAGACTCGAGTTAAACTTCCTTTGTTCTCGAGGATGCCACTGGTCAAGGACTCCAGGGTCCCTCAATCGAGGGTGCTTGTCTGTTGTCTTCGTTCAACCATGAATCGACACCACAGTAGAACATAACCAGTGGCTAAAAACATATAAATGAGCATTCAACCCCCGCCCCGAAGACATCTCTCCCAGGACTCTTGGAGAAACCGACCGAACGTATTCAAGATGAGCGACTTCAAATTCAACGGCCAGGAGCTCGACGTGGATCTCATTGCATCCATCGCCAAACTGCTGGACACCAACGGCATTCCTAATGTCATGTGGGGGCCTTACGTTTTGACACGGTACGGGGCGCCTCTGGTCCTCCAGGTGAGTTCTATGACTTCTGTCCCCGTGCAGTCTAACCGAGCCTGAGACACTAACCAGTGAGTCCATCCCAGGAATTCTCCTTTGTTATCCCTGATTAGCTCATCGATAGAGCCCGCGAGGTCCTCCTCGGAGCGAACTTCGTCGCCTGCCAGGACGAGTGTCACCTGGTCGGGCAGTTTTGCGGCCTCCCGCGTCCCTACGCGCACTTCCTCCTTGACGATAAGGACCAACCCCTCGTAGTCCACGACAGCGTGCCCCCACGCGGACCTTGGCATTTGTTTCGCCTGGAGCTGCACAAAAAATCTTGACTGCTGTGGACATTGCCGGACATCCCGCTAGGAGCGCCCGCCCCGGATGATCCCAGCTACATGCTAGTCACCGATGATCGGCTCGATGAGTACGACCCACGAATGGGCTTAGGGCGAGAGCCATATACTCACTACCCCGTCAAAATACCCACGCTTCCGCGCTATGCGGAGTCCTTGGCGTACGGGTATCTTCGCGAGCGGAATCCCGAGGATAATGGGTCTAACCTTCGAGCAGGGTTTTTTTATTAAGGAGATGACCTACATCGGACTGTACTGTAAGCTAAGCGTAGCTGACCTTGATGAGCCTTGCATTTGCCGTTTCTGGCGGCTTCGGTACCACCCTAGCGGTTATCAACCACTGTTTCGTTATAGCGCCAGACTGGCGGTGGAACTGAGGGCCGCGAATTTCTTTCCCCAGGAGGAAAATGAAGGAGAACCACAGGAGAACACCTGAGGGAAGACATGATTCTGATGTTGACGCATGTTGGTTGGATATGCTTGTTCCTTGTAGTCTTTTGTCTTGACTTTTTCCTTTTTCAGCTGTGAACCAAAGGTGACTATTTCTATGTCTGTTATATCGCGCTCGAATGCATTATTGATTCTATTCAGATTAATGCGTAGACGAGATGAGACACGGGTGTGGCCAATAAATAGAAGTAACTGGAGAGGCTTTGTCTGAATGAAACACGCCTTTATCCTCCTGGTGTAAATCCCCTGACCTGCTGGTCTACAAAATCCACTGCTGCAGCTTGCGGCCCATACCGGACAAGCGAACCCAGGATGCGACGGACGCGTACGACCTAGTCAATATTCTGTCTCGACAGGGGCCCATTGCCCTCAGCGAATCACAGGAACAGGCCGCCCTGTCTGGTTTGGATGGAATGGTGGAGTATTCTGAGGAAACAAGAGAGTGGTGGGAATCTGCCCTCGGGCTGAGCGGCTGAACGGCGGGGCGAGGGTCATAAACATGTTGCTAAGGGGACATATGTTTAGGAGTTCGTGAGGCCTGCGATATTCAGGACCATAGTTTCTCTATCTGAATCGTATCTCTGTTTAAGGTGGGCCACCACTCAAGCACATCTGGGATGACATGAGTATTTTTGCAATTATCGATGCTTGTTTATTGCAAATACTTTGTCTATGAGCTGGATTGCGACATACATAGCTCTAGATCCCTTTGAGATTATTCATCATGGCCTGGGTTCTTCTTTGCTCCTCTCACATGTCCTTGACTATCGCGAATTCCATGGCAGGAAACCGCTCATTCTTATATCCACGATAGTTACCGAGCGCCCACTTAGCGCTCATATATTCTGGAAATTGGTCAAATTCTAACTACCTTAGTATGGAAAGTCCGCCGAGATGTAATTATTCTTCACAACATGAGGACTGACCAACAGAGCTTCTACTGATGATCTTGGTTCGATAGGACTGTGTTACTAACACGGCCGCATTAGCGTAAGGTGGGTGACAGACGAAATCCGGAGCAGCGATAACTAAACGATTCCTGGTGCCTGAATCCTTATGCGGGACAATTCGCCATTCCATTTCAAAGCTAGTTCATTTATGGGCCAAGCTAACTGGTATGAACAATCGGTCGTCTAAATATTCCAACTCCGAGCAGTGGATTTCGACACCTGCAGCAGCTTCAGATAGACCAGTTCTTCTTGGTTTGCAAAACGGTGGACGATTGGGGCCATATTCTCTAGCATCCGCCGGATCTGTCTCGACTTGAGCGCCGTCATCTCTGAGCTCAGTCCAACTAAACACTCTTTTGCCTCGCTCCTTGCTCGGATCTCAAGTGTGACACCTCCCGTGCCAAATCCATCCATATCCTATTGGCAAGAAGATCCGCCATTTCCCAACTTAGTTGACATCCAGTCTCCCGGTTTGCCGACTACGGCCGATATCGTCGTTATTGGCTCCGGTATCTCCGGCGCAAGTTTGGCATATACGATCCTCACCCAGTTTGACAAACGTGGGATTTCCCCGGAAATTGTCCTTTTAGAAGCGCGAGATCTGTGCAGTGGCGCCACTGGAAGAAATGGGGGCCATATCAAGTGCTCGCCGTATGTAGAATATGCAGGGCTCAAAGCGAGATTTGGAGTGGAACATGCGAAGAAATTACTTGGTTTTCAGCGTCGAAATTTGGCCGCTATCCTTGATCTCGTGCAACAGAACGAAGCATTGAAAGCTAGCGAAGCTCGAGAAGTTCAGACAGTGGATGTTTTTACCGACGAAGGGATGTGGGTTAAAGCGAAGAAAATGGTGCAGGAGCTGAGACAGGATGCCCCTGACATGGCTGAAGACATTGTGGTTCATGATGGCACGGAAGCGTGTGAAGTGAGCTTCATATTTTCTTTCACTATTTGATACCTCACTAAATCATATAGGAACTTCAAATCGACCCCCAGCACTGCTATGGCATCATAACTTACAAGGCTGGGGGGGGCACTTTGGCCATATCGCTTCGTTACGTCTCTCTATGCATCCCTTCTTTCAACCTACAGCGCTACCTTTTCGATCGAGACCAACACTCCTGTAACTGATATCCAAGTCAATCCAAGTAATCTCGACAGGCCATTCACTGTTCAGACACCCCGTGGACAGATACCTGCGGCCTATGTCGTACATGCCACAGACGCATTTGCAGCGAACCTGCTCCCTGGATTGAAGGGGAAAATATTTCCCGTGCGGGGACACATAACGGCTCAAAATCCAGGAACTCTATTTCCCAAGCTTGGCGGTGCTAGGTCGTGGAGCTTCATCCACAGGCGCGGTTTCGACTATGTCAGTCAACGTCCAGGAAGAGGTGAACTTATAGCAGGCGGTGGCCTGGTTCAATCACCAGAACAGGGAATGGATGAGTTCGGTATTTGGCGAGATGACCGAACCTGCTTCGCTATCCGCGCCTATCTGGACGGTCTCTTGCCCACGATGTTCGGGACGCACAACTGGGGGGCTGATACCGGTGCCAGGGTGAAAAGGGCTTGGACTGGCTGTATGGGATTCACGCCGGACCTGCTGCCTTATGTTGGTATTCCGGACCAGAAAATCACCCAGCGAAAAGTCCCAACTGCGCGCTCGAGCAAAGATGCAAAACACCCGGCGGAATGATTTTTGCAGGCTTTCAAGGAGAGGGCATGGTCCTAGCACGGCTATCTGGAGTTGCCATTGGATTGATGTTAGTTGGAGAGGATGACGAAGCCTTTGAACAGGCTCCGGGGATACCAGGCGGAAAAATTGGCGAGTGGCTGCCGGAAGAGCTTGCCTGCTCCAAGCGGAGGGTGGGCCGCTCAAACGTGTCTGATCTTGCAACACTCCTTTAAGATCTTGACTTGATTGGGGATCTTGTTGGACGGCAAGCCGTAGGTTGCAGCGTATTAGACTATTTAAGTCGTCCAAAGCCATAGAAAGAAGAGAACACCGAGAAAGATGACGGAAGAAATAAAGCAAGATATCCTTGGCCCGAGTTAGCAGAGTCTAGCAACTAAGCATCCGGTGACAATCGAGGCCATGGTAATGACATGTGGCTAATATGAAGAAGCGTTTCTTTTAATGGCTTGGGTAGAATGTTTGCCGTCTTCGTGGATTCACCCACTGACCTGATTTGGACCGCAAATTGTACTGGCTAAGTATCTTGCCCATGCTAGACCATACCTATCTGTTCCACGAGTTTCCTACTATCGAATGTTTCAGCGGATCAACATATCTCTTCTTACCGTAGGCCCCGCTAGTTTTTAGGCTAGTCTTGCCAGAGGGCTTTCCAAAGTCCCCATAACAAGGGTTAGCTTCACAAGGGCTCGAATCCTAGCGCCTGTCATTTTTCATTGATATCCATCAAGTTGAAAACCCGGTCGAAGGTGCCGGCCTAGGCGATACTGAATATCAGGTCATTTGGCAAGGGTCATACGATCAAGTGACATACTAATATTCGGCGCTATATGTGCTATCGGGTTGGGAAATAAGCACTGCAGGAGAGGGCATAAAAAAGAGATGACCTTAAGGGACAAATTGACGAGTTGTTGCTTCTATTTCTTGCCAATTTATTCACCGTGACGGCGGAAGTTGTTCATTCCATTTCCCGTCTCCTGCCGACCCATCACGGTCATATCCAGCAGGTGATACGTGGACAGGATTATCTCCAAGCCATGAGACGAGGTCTCATAGGTGTGAAGCCACCTCGTCACCTTCCCGGAAGAACGAACATAGTCCAAAATAGCCGTTCCCAGGCTTCCAGGTGATAATCTCTCCCTGTGCCTCGACTTCGGCCCACGTTTTGTGCGTTTTCGCGGAACTATAAAAAGGAAACCTCCAGCCCATCCGATCCCTGTAGTGGTAATTTCAGACAAGGGCGCAGTAGCCACGGCTCACGCGTTGTGAAAAATAAAGGGATCCATTCCTCAGAGAAGGACAATTTCCTGTGTCATGGAGTAGAGCCGGTGACGTGCGTGTCAGGAAGTTGCTCGTATCCCAACTCAAATAGCGGAGTTCTGCCGCTCATTCGCTGTGGTACTTCCCTTGACCCCAGATTCATGGGTTCACGGTATTTATACGAAGTGGCTGCATCGATCTGGGTCTCTAGTTTGGAATTTGGTTACACCTAAAGAGGTTCATGCGGGGTGATGTCTCAGCTTCTGGTGGGTTGCGTGGCATACTGGGGATGAACATGAACCGGGAATACGAACTGTTGATTTGCGATCCTGACTATTGTCTATGAAAGATGTGTAAAGCCATGGTTGATAGGCTTTTGTAGAGAAGATTGAGCAGCACCGTGTGACATCGCTTGCCAGTGCATGATACTAAAGCCCAATCTAGCCCATCGCTAAGGATAGATAGCTATATGGCTTAAACTCTACCCAAAGTCAAGGCCGCCTGCTTTCCATGATAATGTTGCCGATGACGTACACGAACCATGCTTTATCTTTCACTGCCTCCTGTTGGCAGTATAAGGCGGAGTAGATTTATTATGCTCCTTCTCCTCCCTGTCCGAACCCTTGGGCACGCGCTGAACGTGTTCAGGCCCTAACAGCCCAAGATGTCTACCGAAACCAGTGACGCAACTAAGGCCCAGCAGACATGGAAAGCTCCCCAGAAGGCTCTCCATGTTGGGTGGAGATCCCTGCACGGGATACCGAAAAACTAAAGGTCGGCTCGCGCTCCTGCGGCGACTCTGATGACTTTCGTCTGCTGTGATAGCAGGCTACTGGGCCCTGCTGACGATGATCTCTGGGTAGGCATTTTACGGTGCCATTTTTCCGTCCTGGGAATGGAGGCCAGCTCAGTCCGCTGAAGACCAAAGCAAAGTGCAGCACTATAGTTTCGCTGAACCGAAGGGTAAGCTAGCCTTGATGCACAGCTTATCGAAATCGCTGAATGGGTCTTCCGTCTAGGATTATCCGGAGGCATCGTCCAGGTGCCGGAGGGTTGCGCTCCAACAGAGCAGATCATGGGCAGTGGGATGACCGTGTACTACTCGGTCGACTCCCTTGACATGGTCAGTCCTGGTGCCCGAATACTCCAGGGATTAGTACCCCTTCCAGAAGATCGGCAAGGCTGATTGTATCAGGTGGAGAAGAAAATTCACGAACGCGGTGGTAGCACCTGTCTAGCCAAGACAACTGAGAGTTCTCATGGGTGGTTTATGAACTTCCGTGACCCTGAAGGGAACCGGTTTGGTTGCTACGAGGTTCGTCGTAGCTAGAGAGCCTTGGAAAGGTCTTTCGCAGCCGGTGCTTTTTCGAGCTAGGCGGCTTCTTTTTTTTCTCTTTTCCTAAATATCTTCCGGGCCGTCAAAGGTGGGGGGCGGATGCCGTAGAAACAATACTCGGCGAGGTGGGATGACAGCTCAAAGTGGGTACAAGTCGTCGATATTTTTGGTCTTTTAATCCGATTTGCTGACAGATATCAATTACTGTAAGCTAGTCACGTGGAGTAGTCTTACCCCTAGAGGTTAGGTTAAGACGCGTTATTCTTTGAAGGGAGACGCCCAGACCTTCCGCTACGGGTAGCCTATACCGCTTTTGGTCTAATATCTAAGCATCATCGGTACCGGCCAGTATACTAAGCCTATTTAGGTAAGAGGTATGATACTGAAATCGTGCTATGACGGCGCTAGTCCACTTCTGGAATTTTCGCAATTGTTTTAGTAGCTCTCTCTTGTTCTACTCTGGGGGCATCATTGAACTGAAGCTCCCCGGCCAAGAATGGCGCACATTTGGCCTTACCTGCTTTCACTGCGTGTATGCACCATCTAAACACCGAAAGACGCTTCGATAGGTTTCCAGCCTCTCTTCTGCATAATGTTTACTATTAGGATGTGGCTTAGGTATATACTATCGCAGAGCCCGGAAATTACTAATATTCAAATGATAACTAAAGACACTCCACTTGCCAGATTAATCTACATACGTTTAATCTACAACCTAAGGGTCGCGTTCATTACGGACTCTGTCCTATCCTGAGAGTGGATATTGATTTTACATTACGTCTTTACGTAGTCCTACCTAATATTAAGCAACTCGAATGGAAGATGTCATCATGACGAACGCGGCCTGGCCCCAATTCTTCGCTATAATATATCGGCTATGTAGATATCGTAGTATATATTTCTGCAAGAAACTCAAGAGAATTTTACTCGGTTTCACCAATATCAATTTGTATTGAAGATCCTCACTTTTGAACGTACGCGAATCTCCAGCATGCCTAAAGCATATTTCGACCGTGACCCTATAACCCTACAAGAGGGAAGCCACGTCGGCGCTGAGGTCGGTGGTAAAATGATTGAGCCCGATGGAATGGAATTCGTTACTGGAGAAGTTGAACGGGTCATTATTCATAGATCTTCGGATTCCACTCTTGAGCTCAAGTGTACGCGGGATGTTCATTTTATGCCTGGGGAACAAGTTATATTACAGCAGCTGGGTAAGCTCTCCGGGATAGACACAAGGGAATAATGATTGACTAGTACCACAGATCCTGTTAGCTACGCTGCTATAGGCATGAAGAGTGGAAAGGAAGTCGAGTTTAAGGAGTAAAACGGTTCATGTCGTGCTTAAAATAACTTGCCATTATGTATTGTTGCTGCTATCAGAAGTAAGGGAAAATTGGCTCTGGAGTTGGGACTTGGACATTAAATCTTTGTTTAAAAATGAGTACGACTCTGCTATATCCAACCGGCCATAATTAGTTAAGCTGAAGCCTCCGTCAAATATATTCTCAAAAGTGAATATCCCCGCTGTTCCGTCGGCGAAATATAGATGACCTCTAAAATCCTCAGATGACCGAAGACGCGCGCAATGTCGCCATAACCATAGAGCTCACACGCATCGCAGCTTGTGGAGGAGCACAATTCGCCTTCTGAATTTTCCCATCCTTCCTGAACTCTGCTGATGAAGGCGCGGAGCAATGGGCTTCCATATGTCTGATTTTCAGAGACAACCTGTGTTAGTATACCCATCGGCGCCATTGCAAGAATAAAGTAATCAGGAATTAAGTAATACTCTAAGATATTATTTTGTTTTCTGTTCACCGAAGTGAGAGAGGAATGGCGCGAGGTCAATTGGGTTGGGATTGTTCGAGAGCCATTCTAGTCGTCTGCACTGATAAGCGGAAGGGCAAGGATTGCTAAGAAGACGCGAGAATATCCTCACCAGTAAAGGTGCAACAGAGGCTTAGGCTAATATATGAGGACGACAGTCATGGCAGAGGATTGAAAAAGTTACCATTCGCCACGCTTTAAATGTTGGTCGCCGCTGTCATGGCTCATACTTTTTAGACGTCCGCCAGTATGTAACTAAGGGCCCGAAGTAGTGTTTTCACTTAAGTAATACCGCAGAGAGCCGGCCAGGAAAGAATTAAAGAGATTGCAACGTCGAAAGAGAAAGGAGGTACTATGACGTGCTGGGACATGTTACGTGTGTATGTAGTGAAAATACAGCAAAAAGCAATCATGTCTTGAAAGCTCAGCTCCGCGTGGCTTTCTTCCGGTCCCTGATGACCTGATTGTCTGTCTGATGCCGGGCACTGGCTCTGACGGCAACGGACCTGGGGCTGGACTAGACCGGTTGACCCAATCCGCAAGTGAAACTCCATCTCCAACCAACCCAATCCACACTTGGATTGGATAAGGTAGGCCGTAATCCAACGGTCCAACCCTTAGATGAATGGGTTAACAGTACATGGATATGAATAACCCATTAGGTGCAGGCGATCTAGATCATCTAGGGCCTTTTCGAACTGGTAAACTTATGGTCTTATCTGACCTTATCTAGGGCTTGATAAGTATATATTACATCTATAGATAGAGAATAGCTACCATCTATATATAAGATAAAAATATTAGATTTACTAGAAAAAATGGGTGCTATGGTAGTTTTTAGTTTTTAGATAATTATTTATGTCTCCACACTTCATTCCAACAAAAAGAGGTAGGATTGTAGTAATCTGAACTAACCAACCCCTACAACAAACGCGCGACCCCGTAAACTAATGTCGTAGGGGTCGGTTAGAGGGCATCTGACTGGATAGTAGGATATGCCCATTATCCCTCCGTAATCCAATCCGCATGGATATGAGGGTGGGTTAGGTCGCTAGTGGATCAGGCCATATCCAATCCGCTACCAGTGACCAGTCAAGGCTGGACCACTCTGTCTGTTGGACTTCCCGTCACTACCTAAAAATTAACTTGCTGGACCTAGTGGTATACAGTATCTTTTTTGCTCCAAGTCAAATTGCCAGTTCCCCGAACTCGGTATATGTCTGGCCCGGTGATGGAAAAGTAGAGTGATGTTGAATGTATTCTCTGGAAGCATGAAAGAATACCAAAGCGGTTAACTTATGGGAGAGAGCTGGAGGCTAGACTTCCCTGAAAATGCCATGGAGTCGGGGGCAGTCAAAACCGAGGATTGTGGTTTCAGACATTTGCCAATCCAGTATTGGTCAATGATTTTGGATGGACTTTCTAGCCAGGCGCCGTTAGCTTCCAGTTCCAGGCCCACTTTTGAGTAATTGTGTAGATACGGCGCAAAGGACTTCCCCGGCCCCTGTCAACAAGCCTTGCAGTAGCATGGTCCTAGCCATAACTAATGAGTAATGACCCCCAATGCAATCAGCTGCGCCCCGACATCTTGCATTAGCTAAACCGTGGCCAGCTGTGAGCGAGTTTTCTTTTCCATTTGATTGCCCCCTCCCCTGATGCCTGCTCCCCAACCTGAAATTCGTCCCATCTCTCGTCTGGGGCAAGACGCGCCCTGTTGTCCATACTTTTCACGGTCGTGAGGCCTGCTTACCATGGTATATCTATGTTAATTATACTGTCTCGTGCTTATATCCCAGAAGCATACTCACCGAATTTTGCTCAACAATAGTCCCTCCGCTTGCTCGCTCCGGGCACCGGCCCAGACGGCAACGGAACACCTGCGATAGAGTAATCAACCCTGAATTAACTCGTCCCCAGCTGAAGCTGATATTGTCGACACTGCAGTATTGTTGCGGTTCACGGTCTTAATCCCATAAACTCTGAAGATCACGCGTTCAATACCTGGCGCAAGCCACTTGATAGCGCAGGGTGCCTGTGGCTTAGAGACTGTTTCCCAAAGGCCCAGCCTAATGCCCGTATCTACCTATACGAATATAATTCGAGTCCCGTTTTTGGCGCCGCGAAGGATAGCTTCGTGGGCGAGGCGAATCAGCTGCTGGACGAAATATATGGCGAGCGATGGCAGACGGTGGGAATCTTTGTTTACCTGAACCGAATGTTTGTGGACAGTTCGTTCTAACGGGAGATTATCTAGAATGGCAGCACTCCGCTTATTTTGATTGGGCACAGTCTGGGTGGAATTCTGATCAAGCAGGTAGAGTGATAATCCGCTCAAACTGGAGATACAGTAAAGCAAGGTCATTAGCTGACATCTATCACACAGGCTCTCGTCAATGCATGGGCCAACGAGAAATATAGAGGGATCAAGGAAGCAACGTACGGCAGCATGGGTATCATACAAGCTTCTAAGCTGACTCCTGACTAGCTGCGCATTGGTCTTCTTCGGTACGCCACATGCAGGACCTTTGAGGAACATGCAGGTTGGGCTCGGCATGGCTTGTGCCAGGATTGCCCGATCATTGCCCTTTCAACCAACATCCAAGATCATAGAGGTCTTAGAGGGTGGAACGCTATTTTCGGACTTGCTCACTGAGTCCTTCCGACACCAGCTAGAACAATACAAGATTCTCTCGTGCTATGAGGGACTTGGCGATGTATGCGGGTCCCCTTTGCGGAGCTCCATTGACATTTCTACTAGGTTGTACCCTTTGACTCGGCTGTTCTGGGCCTCCCCGGTACACGCGAGACGCAGCTCCGGATTAACGCAGATCACATCAACATGTGCCGCTTCGACATGACTGCCCAGGCAGATAGGGATAACTATCGGAAGGTGGAACGAAACCTGCAAATGCTCTGTGCAGATGCCCTAGACCCGAAAGCCGGGGTGATTGCAAGATCCAGTAAGTAGAGAGATCGAACCGACAATGGGATATGTTTTCCCCGACCCGTGGGTAGAGATCAGGCTGCCAATGTGGTCCCTTACTTCAGTGTCTGCAATCATTGCAGTGCTTATCGTCTGTTATTATTATCCAATGCGGCCTCTTTCTGATTTCTAGTTGTCCCTCTATATAGACGTACCTATGAACAATCCAGCCTCCCAGGGCGGCGTTGATCTATCTAGCGTCCTGCTACAGCAACTGGATCCGGCCGTGATGAGCCATGGTAACCTATTGTTGAGAAGTACAGGACCCTGTAAGTTCTTTCCCTCCATGTAATACCCAGTTTTTAACCCAAATACCCAGGCTTCGCAGACGTCCCAGACCTCGCATGGCAAGTCTACCAATTATGTGAACAGTCCCGGGCGGCCGCCTTCGCTGACGCCGCATCGGATGTCTCCCGTCTGTTTATCGGCGTGCGCAGCCTTAAAAATCGACTCGAAACTGACACATTTTCAACTGACAACACGGATGAAATTATGGAGGTCCTGAACAAGTGCTGCCGAACGCTCCAATCCTTCCAATCCATGATCGACATTTACCAGAATACTACGCAGAGGGGTCGAGCGCACTGGAACAGCAGCGGCTCCCGGGAGGAATTCTACGGGATGGTCTTAAAGCGGACCTCCAAGATAATATTGAACTAATCAGCACTCTAAATCGAGATCTGACAAGGTACATTTGGCTCCCTGATGGTGAACATTGACGCAAACCTATATCTTACTCGGTACCGGTTTCGCTCACGGTGTGATTCGACAGGCGTTCTATGAACGACTTAACTCGAAGGCTGGATGAAGTAATAGAGACGCTCAATGGTGGTGATGAGAACCTGTCTGCTCTGTCGAGTCGGCTGTCTCAAGCTTCACTTTCTGATGTGGAAAGTTGGAGTGATATATGTCCAGACTTGGTAAAGGCTGGGTTATCTCCAAGTATTGTATCCGAGCAGAGGGAATATATCCAACAATGGCTACTGAATGCCGTCAAGGCCGGCCGAATCATTGTCGAGTCACTCCCAGACGAGGCCAGTCAAGCCGTTAGCGACGTTTGGCGCATTGAACACGATGGACATGCAACCAACTATGGAGGCGAGAGCATAGTGACCATCACAAATCGCAATGGCAGTCCATCTCTCAGACCTCATTCAGTCTTGACTCGCCGACTTTCCGACAACTCGCAACAGCTCGAAACAGACACTACCACTAGCTCAGCACCTAAAAACAAACGCGCCTTGAAAAGCTGGACCCACTCCCTGACCAGCAAACTCCGGTATGGAACTTTAAACTCTCAGGACGCTATCGCGAGAGCCGCTTTCTTTGGCGATCTCTCGTCGGTGCAGAAGATTATGGCTTCCAGCAATAAACTTGATCCGGCCTGGCGCGACTGGGATATGATCTTATCTATGGCTACTGAAAATGGAAACATTGCAGTGCTGAGCGACCTGCTGGCTCTTGGCGTATTCACAGGCCGGAAAGACCAGCTGTGCAGTTGTCTCTCTTCTGCCATTGAAAGGAAAGATATCCAAATAATGACTCTGTTTTTCGACAACGGAGTACCCCTTGAGGCTAAAGATCTTGCTCTTGCAATGAGGTTCGCTCCGGAAGGGTTCATTGAGAGAATGCTGGGTAGAATGGACGGAGATGGCGTCCTGGACCATCAGAGCTATGCGCATCACCTTCTTCATACAGCCGCAGAGCGCGGTCACGGGAACGCATTCCAATCACTCGTTGCGCAGTACGGGGGTATCAACGCTGCTATCAACGAGACAACCCCATTCCATTTAGCCTGCCGTTCCGGAAACGCGGAGAGTATCCAGCTTGCGCTGGATCTAGGAGGGAACGTCAGAGTAACTGACGCGCGAGGCGATAGCCCACTTCACGCGTTGATACTTGGGGGCGGTCACCCTAGATACGAGATTGGCGCGACGATTATGCTGCTGGTGCGAAATGGGGCGCTTCTCGATGGGGAATCCGGTGATGGGCAAACTGCACTCCATTTAGCGGCTAGATGCGCACATATCAAAGCAATGGAAGCTCTGATGCAGATGGGAATGAGCCCGAACATTCAAACCACCGAAGGCAAAACACCATTGCATACCGCCTGCAAGGGTGAATGGGTGCAGCGTAGCGTGGAGCGTTGGTTACCTGGGTATCTAAAAAAGGAGTTCAATGTCACTCAATTCTACATACGGTCCCTCTCTGATATGAAAGACCCGAGGGAAACCATCTACTACCGAGAGAAAGCAGATGATGCTATACGGCTTCTCTTACGGTACGGGGCTTCAGTTGATGTACGTGCGATGGAGAGTGTCACCCCGCTGCATCTTGCGTCGGAGAGCGGGGAGCCAAGCCGGATAAAGATCCTTCTTCAACATGGAGCTGCCGCTCAAGCGGTTGATGACTGGGGATGGACGCCATTGCATTATGCTATTACCAGTGCATCGCAAGAGGCAGTAGACCTGCTCATTCCGTACGGCGTCGACCTGACGAAACAGGTCCCAGTGAAGATGATGGGCGAGCACCAGGAACAGATGGACGCAGATTATCTGCTTCGAGTCATAAATGAAGGCACTTTTACAGGCCGGAAAATCACATTGCGGCTGGAGGATGATGAGAAGACCTCTACGACAAGGAAGTAGACGAGACATTCTTCTAGAATCTCAGATGTGAGCTATTCCCTGGTATTTCTATCACTTGTAGATGTTTCCAATAGCGCTAGCCTATCGGCGCCATAAGCGCATGTAAACGATTAAACACCGCCACCTTCCCACTAGCTGTTCCCCGAACAGGCGGGAAACAGCTTAGGTGTAGCGATTGCGCACAGGAATCCCAAAACGGCGGCGTTTGAGAGCGCCCACGTAAACAGGAGTAGGAAAATGCCTGTGCATACGCATGCAGCTGTTTCAGTGCCTTTGCGCTTAACCATAATTCATCACAACGTCATCATTACCTACCCTCCTACTAGTCCTCAGAGCACAGCGACTGCAACTATTATACTCAACCTAACTAGAGGTGTTATTACTACCTTGACTGGCTAAGTGCTACGCTGAGATTTTAGATTACATGTAAAATAGCTAAAGTACACCTTGTAAATATCTCATCTCCTAAGGTAAGGACTGGCCTCTGATCCTGCCGGTGCCTGGCAATATTAGTGAAGACCATGGTACATTTGCCGTATATCAACCAGTAAATACCGTACGCGATTGCAGGATGCAAATTATACTTTAGACTGTGGCTCTATTTATCGTTCCTTGTGTGTAAGACTATACGCTGGGGTAAAAGAAAGAAGGTGCTGTTTCCTAGAGTGGACTGCCTAAGCTTATGAATATCACCGGCTCCGGAAGTGATTGGAGACCGAGCAATATTAGGCCGACGGCATGCACTATCGGGCCAGCATATGGAAGAAGTCGCGGTGGACTCTCAAATAGGTAAGGCAGCCGATTCACCCGTCTTTTAGTGAACGGACAGAAGGGTGGGGAGCTGCCTGTAACATGCGTACTGTCCTGGGCCCTGGTTAAAATCAGATAGACGCAACGCTCTTCAAGCAGTAAGTACAAGGTAAATGGCCTTAATCACCCTCAATGACGCTTGATCCCTTGTCTACCGACCACAAATGGCAAGGATCTAAAACATCTCGTTATATGAAGTGTCTTCGATGAATATATATATACATGAGGTAGGAAAAGCTGCTGTATCTACCGTCCAGCCCACATTAAACTGTGCTCAATCTCAAAGGGGGTTGAAAAAGGCCCTACGAGAAGGCGATATGTTCCAGGCTCCAGCCGCCATTGTTTGACATCCTCATCCCAGTAGCTGAATGCATGTTTCTTATTCAGGGAGATCGTCACTGTTTCTGACTCCCCAGGAAGTATCCATACTTTCGCGTACCCCTTAAGCGCGCGAGCAGGACGCCACACCTTCGTGCTGTCTGGAGGAGATATATAGAGCTGGACAACTTCATGGCCGGGGTAGATACCGGTGTTCTTGACCCTGACCGAGATTTTCAGGTCAGAGTCGCCTGCCTCCTCAGTTATCTCCTGGCCACTGACGGTGAGTCCTGAGTATTCGAAGGTAGTGTAAGACAACCCGTGGCCGAATTGCCACTGCGCAGTGCGCTGGGATTGAGGATGTCTGTATCCTATTTGAAGGCCTTCTTCATACTTGATTTCATACCCGCGCTCCGTAAGTCGCGCTGGGAAGTTGTGGTAAGTGGGGACGTGCTCTTCATCGAACTTCTTAGGCCAGGTGGTCGCCAGGCGGCCGCTCGGGTTGGTTTTCCCAGTCAGAATATTAGCGATTGCCTGTCCGCCCTCTTGGCCGGGGAAGTGAGCATTGAGAATCGCGTCGACTTCATTCACAAATGGCGATAAGTCGATCGGATTGCCGCAGTTAAGAACTAAAACTGTCTTCTTGGAAACTGCTGTGACAGCTCTGATGAGCCTTACCTGGGGTTCGGATATATTCATGGAATCAAGGTCGAAGCCTTCAGATTCGTATTGTTGATTTCGACCAGCAAATATGATGCTCACATCTGCTGAAGAAGCAACCTGGACGGCTTCGGCTATCAAAGCGCGCTCATCACTGAATTCCTCATAGCACAGAGTTGCACCGTGAGGAGTGGGTTCATAGTCATTTTCTCTAGGGATACGAGCCCGACTCAATAGCCGCACCAAGTAAGGCTTTCCAGCCTCCATGAAAACAGAAATGCGGTGTTCCAGGCGAGCGGGCTCAAAGAGAAAATCTTCCATTGTCACTTCATGTTGATTCGGTACCGAAAGAACAGCTTTGCTCTCGACAAACAGAGAGAAACTCCCCGTAACGCGAGCGGCTAATGTATGTGGGCCGGTCGTCTTGGGGGTAATGGTAGTTGAAATCTCGTAGCTGAAGCCCGGCTCCATCAGACCAGGCTTCAGGTTTCGAACCATGGCGACCACCGGAGTCTTCTGGTGTTCCGTGCACACAGGCATATTAGAACCCTCGTTAAAATAAGCGACGTCAAAACCTGGGCTGCCATTCTTAGACGTAGTGCAATCTAGCGGTACTATGGGGACGATTCTGTTTGTATTGACCCCTCGGGCATATTTCACCAAAGAAGGGAAGGGGTGAGCGTCTCTCAAATAGTCCAGTGGCTTTTGTAGGTACTGCGGAGGTGCGCTGGCACTGCCTCCGCCGCTCACGACGGGCTCACTGGCGGGGACACCAATGACTGCAATCTTTGGAGCACGACGCATGTCAAGAGGCAAGACACCCTGCTCATTTTTGAGAAGGACAATGCCTTCTGACGCGATCTTCAGGGCTAGTGCGTTCGTCTCCGGGCTGACTTCAGACCTTTCAGGTTCCTGTGAGTGAGACTCTCGTGTCTTCTCGACCAGAGCAAGAACTCGAGAAACACACTCATCGACAGCTTTTTCGTCAACAAGACCGTCCCTTACAGCCGCTACAAGCTTTGGACCGCGAAAGACTGATGGACCGGGCATTTCCAGATCGAGCCCAGCATTGATTGATGCTGCACAAGATTTGGTGGCAAACCAGTCAGATACCAGACATCCATTGTATGCCCATTCATCCCGTAATATCTCCTTCAGGAAAGGATGCTCGGTCGTATGTGTGCCATTCAGTTTATTGTAGCTATGGCAGGCGTCAGGAATATCATCCAATAATCATTGAAGAAGTGCAGTAGCAATATGGACACCGAGGAAGACTGCCTAGATACGTACCTTACCATCAAGCCATGAGGCTCACTTCTCCTCAACATCTCTTGGAAAGCAGCTAAGTATATCTCCCGAACAGCGCGGCTGTTGTGAGACTGTGCCACACTGTACTCCCTTCTCTTGAATTCACTCTCGTTGCAAGCAAAATGCTTCGGGCAAGCAGCGACCCCTTGTGACTGTATTCCGCGCACGACGCCGGCGGCAAGCTGACCGGACAGAAGAGGGTCTTCGCTGATACATTCAAAGTTTCTTCCCCCTCGAGGATCGCGGTGAATGTTGATTGTTGGTCCAAGAATGACTTGCGCAGATTTCAATTTCGCCTGGTACGCCAATGCCCTTCCTAGCTCCTCCATGAGTGTGTTGTTCCAAGTGGCACCATATAAAGTCGAACTTGGAAAAATAGCCGTTGGTACGCCGTGGTGAAGTTCAGAGCCTTTGACCCCGTTAACGGAGTCGACCAGCTAGACGATTGTGGAAGCTATGTTAGCCGAGAAATCGAACACGCAGGCCTGGCCATTGCTGAGGATGCATATACCTTCAAAGGAGGAATGTTCAATCGCGAAACTCCGCTAGAGTGAACAAAATCCGTTCCCGACAACAAATCGACCTTCTCCTCTAAGGTCAATTGCGGTAGCAGAGAGGTAAAGTTCGGTTGCACTGATCGTGCAGCGTCCTCTCTAGTGCTCTCATCTTGGGAGGTTGGCGTACCAGCTCGAGAGGAGTCAGTTACTTCATCAACCGCGGCGTTCATAGTTTGGAGGTCGCCCATTTCTGGGACTGAGGATTCTGATTTGACCTGCATGTTTGGACAGCTGTACCCAGTTGTTGTCCACCCCAAGCTGATAGATCAGTAAGGATCTGGCGGAATGAATAATGTAGAGACCTAACGGATGAAAATTTATAATCCGCGGAGGTAATATAAGTACATAGCTCCGCACAGTGCTTCTACATCTTCTTTCCTGACAGTCGGTTAACCGTCCACATCACAGGAACAGAACAGAAGACATTGGGAGATAGTCAAGATCGTCTCATTGACTCTTGTGGTGAGGATAGTGGATTAGGGTGGATAGCGGAGGAGCGCGGAGATGCCGGTTAGTGGACGCGCCATGGATCAGGAAGTGGACGCCGACAGACGGTCATGTGACATTACGGCATTGGCTCACGTGAGCCCACAACGCCGTCCACGCGCTTCTCCCGTCCACTCTGTGACTTCTTTCCATCCAGCGTCAACATCCGGCGGCATTGTCAGTGTTGTCGATTCTGACGATCCACCTACCACCTATGTGTGCTCCATTGCTTTGCGATTCCTTCCATACCTCAGTTGGGACTGAAATAGGCTTAGACTAGTATGCAGGTCGCTTCGCCAAAGGCCACTAGGCGCCAGTCAAGGTCGCAGAGGAAACAACCCTCTGGTCCGTTCATCTGTCATACTTGTGGGAAGGTGTTCACACGAGTTGAGAATTTGACTCGACATGCGGAGAATCGTATGTGCAGAAATCCACTTCCGTAGCCTAGACCGGATCCCTGTGTACTGAGATGCGATTGTGATAGACAAAACTACCGCCAAATTTGTGTGCCATGTCTGCCAGAAACGGTTTACTCGAAGGTAGTTGACCCGCCGGTTCCTGTGTTCTGCCCGTCTCGAACGATATATGTGTATATTGCATTTGTGGTTGGCAAAAGCGGCGACTCGACAAACTGCATCAATCTGCTTTCCTTCCGCCTTCCTTGTATTGTGGATTTTGCAACGCACGTAGAGACGAACGACTCGTGGCGCTGACTTTCTTCCAGTGACCTCCTGAAACGTCATTCAAAGATTCATGCCAACAATGCGGGTCGCCAATACCTCTCCGATGCGCCTTTGCCAGACCCTGCGGGCAATCTGCACTTTGACAATGCTGATCAACAGCTTCAGCAACCCCACCCTA